CTCTTCCTTCAGCGAAACACACGTCTCGGAGATTCCAGAGTCAGAGGTCGTTGCTCTTGCTCAGATTGTTGAAGATGACCCTGGAGATGTCTTCACTCTTCAAAAAGACTGGTTGAGTCCAGAGTATGCTTTGATCTATAAAGTTGCTCTTCCTATTCCTCCGGTAAAGGAGCCGACCAAGTAAGGACAATCTACGAAGCGCTAGTTTAGTGACGATATATCTAAGACGAGAATAGGAAAGTCATAAGTCCTGTCACTGGAAAGGAGATCTGGTACTATGAGCTGGAGATCAAGCCTTTCAGTCACCAGGTGTACCCCAACCTCCGTCCTGCCACTCTTGTTGGCTACGACGGGATGTCTCCTGGCCCCACTCTGATCATCCCCCGTGGCACCGAGTCTGTGGTTCGTTTCATCAACAACGCTGCTTACGAGAACTCTGTTCATCTCCATGGATCCTACTCCCGCGCCGCTTTCGATGGCTGGGCGGAGGATATTACCAATCCCGGAGAGTACAAGGATTACTACTACCCCAACCAGCAGTCAGCCAGAACGCTGTGGTATCATGATCACGCAATGCACTTGGTGAGTCATTAAGCACGCTTCCCAAAGGATACCATACTGACTCTTGACAACCAAGACCGCTGAAAACGCATACATGGGTCAAGCTGGAGCTTATCTCATTAGCGATCCGGCCGAGGACGCTTTGAACTTGCCTACTGGCTATGGCGTTTATGACATCCCTTTGGTTCTCACTTCCAAGCAGTATAACGATGACGGAACACTGTTCTCGACCGTTGGGGAGAAGGACAGCTTGTGGGGTGATGTGATTCACGTCAATGGTCAGCCCTGGCCATTCCTGAACGTCGAACCCCGCAAGTATAGATTCCGCCTCTTGGACGCTTCCGTCTCTCGTGCATTTGCTCTTTACCTCGTCAACTCCAATGCGCCCAACGGCAAGCTGCCTTTCCAGGTCATTGCAGCTGATGGTGGCCTCTTGACCAAGCCTGTACAGGTCTCCGATCTGGTGAGTAAATTTAGTTTATGTGTTTAGCTCTCGTGGTTTCAGTACAGAACTGACCTGTTGCAGTACGTGTCTGGTGCTGAGCGGTACGAAATTATCATCGACTTTTCCAAGTACGCTGGACAACAGCTTGAGATCCGAAACTTCCCCAAGGCCGGCGGTGTCGGAGTTGAGGATGACTACTTGAACACCGACAAGGTTATGAAGTTCATCGTCGGCACCACCACCTCCTCCCCCGACACATCCAGCGTCCCGGAGACTCTTCGAACTGTCCCATTCCCAACCTCAACCGGAAACGCTATCAACCACCACTTCAGATTCCACCGCACCAATGGCGAATGGCGTATCAACGGTGTCGGATTCGCTGACGTCGAGAACCGCATGCTCGCCAATGTTCCTCGAGGCACCGTTGAGATCTGGGAGCTGGAGAACAGCTCTGATGGATGGTCCCACCCTATTCATGTCCATCTGGTCGACTTCAAGGTCATTGCCAGAGATGGTGACCGTGGTGTCATGCCCTACGAGGCAGAGGGTCTTAAGGATGTTGTATGGCTCGGCCGCGGCGAGTCTGTCCTCGTCGAGGCTCACTATGCGCCCTGGGACGGAGTCTACATGTTCCACTGCCACAACCTGATTCACGAGGACCAAGACATGATGGCGGCATTTAACGTCACCACTCTTCCTGACTGGGGCTACAACGAGACCACTTTCATTGACCCCATGGAAGATCGCTGGAGGGCTAAGCCTTACGTCATGGCTGATTTGCGCACCCGCGCTGGCCCCTTTTCCGACAGCGCCATTGAGGAGTCGATCCAGTTTATGGCCAACACTGAGGCATACAGCAAGGTTGATGAAGTCAACGACGCTCTTGAGCAGTACTGGTCATCTCACTGATTGATGCAGCCGCTGGCTGTTATCCATGAATCAACATGATAGTTTGTTTTCTTTTCTTGTCCACATTTTTTCATCAGCGATCGCACCAAGTACATGCATGGACGAATGCTTTTCCTTCTTGTTTATAGTCTCGTTATCATTAGTATCAATGTCAGTTTGCCTATGTATACAAAATTTTGAATTGATTCTGGAGTGCCTTTGTGACCGTCGGCGCCAGATGCTCCCCCGGCAGTTCTTGAGATGTCAAAAGTGATGTTATTCTGAAGTCTTTTCCTGTCCGGTGGGATGGGAGAAATGTCTCCACTCAAGCCCCTGGATCAATCTGAGGACAGGGTGTGGTCCGCCAACCTGATGCAAGCACGGTCAAACCCTGCCAAGAACTCCAGTCTCCTTAATAAGCTTCAGACTCTCCTAACCATATCGAGGTGCCTGCCAACACCCTAAGTAATTAAGCTCACACCGTTATCTGACTCTTCACCAATCTCAGTCTTGGAAACATTTGGGTTGTGGAAGATCTGCGCTGGGTGGATATACTTGCAGGGTCGCAGAGGTGCTGTTTTGGGGAAATCCCACCAATCTTGGCCAGGCCCGGAACACAGCCCGAGAGGCCCATCGTTTATATCGAACAGAGCCACTGCCAGTCAGCGACGAGAGCGGATATGAATGCCAAGAGATGGCCAATTGCAGAAGTGGACGTGTGATCAAGTGGAACGAAAAAGGCGTGAACTCGGACTATGGACAAGAACGAAATGGGCAAGGAACGGTGCTTGCAACGTGCCAAGACATCGCAGGGGAGTCCACCAACCAGGAGAAATTCTGCGCTGTCCGAGAATTATAAAAGATGTGGTGAAGAACGACATCAAGAGTTGTTGATAGTTCTTCAGAGCAGGGTCCTCATTTGTTTTGGATTGTTTTCGTTCTTTTCAAAAACCACACTTCAAGATGAAGGTTACTTCGGCAACTGCTGTTTCCGCGCTGGTCGCGACCGCGTCGGCCCACGGATTCGTCCAGCAGATCATGCTCGGCGAGAACCTCGTCAACACCTGGAACCCTTACAAAGATCCGTCGAAGAAGGTCGAGAAAATCACCCGCAAGTTCAAAGACAATGGCCCAGTCACCGATGGGCTCTTCGAGGTATGCACAAACTACCCGCTTGTACTGTACCAACGCTGACTCGTCAACTGCATAGACCGACGCCATCACCTGCAACATCGGAAGCGACAAGAACAACGTCCCCGCCACTGAGACTGCCAACGTCGCTGCTGGAAGCACTGTCAAGTTCATGTGGACTGAGTGGAAGAGCGATCACCCCGGCCCGAGTAAGTCGTGGACGCCGTCCGACTCCGATGGAGGGTTGAAAATGCTAACAAACGGGAAGTTATGACATACCTTGCCAGCTGTGGTGGCAAGTGCAGCGAGTTTGACGGCAGCACCGGCAATGTCTGGGTCAAGATTGACCAGTCTGGTTACGATGCCAAGGAGGCCATTCCCTGGGCTAGCAAGAGGCTTCCAGAGAACAACAGCACCTACACTGTCAAGTTGCCCTCCAAGATTGCTCCTGGGGAGTACATCCTTCGGTAAGTGTAGCCTCGGCCTCTGCGACCAAACAATCTTTTAACTTGGGTTCTCATAGACACGAGATTCTCGGCCTGCAACGCACGAACACGGACGGAAAATTGGCGCAATTCTACCCGGGCTGCCACCAGATCACTGTTACTGGGGACGGAACGACCAAGCTCCCCGAAGGCATCGCGCTTCCTGGAGCGTACAAGGCTGATGATACCAAGTCGGTGAGTAACTCCAACCTATGTGGAATCCCCAAGCATGTCAACTGACAACTCTCTAGATCTTTCTCGACTACCGCAAGGTTACCGAGTACACTCCTCCTGGTGGGCCTGTTTGGGGTGATGATGGATGGGCCCAGTAGGCAAAGATCTTAGCTCTAAGGTCTCCGTGTTGCGTATATTCAGCATGTAAATACTTGGCATCTTGCTACCTTGTAAATAAATTCGTAAACTTGGCTGCTGCCAAGATTTCCTGCAACGCGTTCCCAGAATTTCAGCATGTTAGTGCACGTCATAGTGAACATTGCATATGACTTATATGAAGTTTTGATGATCATTATGTTTGCTTGTAAAGCACCAAATGCCTTCGTGTCGAAGCCTTGAAAGTAACCAAAGTTATGCTCCTCAATTACTACTAAAGCTCAGGTCCCCAATCTCGTAACAGATCGTACAAGAGAAGACGCTTGCAAACCGCGGAAGACAACACGGGTGACGTACATCAATGAAATCGACCCTATATCCAAGCTTGTGTTGCGAATGAAGGTCAGATACTCGCTGCCAAGCGGTGAGGATCTCTTCGCTGAGGCTGATTCTCGAAGTCGCCATCACAGTCAGTCTCGTGTCAGTTCTCCTAACCTCGTAGCGAAAGAGGAATGACGTTGGTTTATGCCTATCGACATCCGGACACCATACCTCCATGATCCTAGGCTTTGGCATCTGACAAGCAGCTCTTGCCGCTCTCACAAGCAAAAAGTCCAGGTTGTCTTTGCCGCGGTAGGTGGTCAAGCACAAGTGGACGAGATTTGGCCAGTGTGCGTGATTAAGGCCGCCTAGACCATGCATCATAGTCTCGTGGCACTTGAAAAATTGCACAGCATCGGCGACGTTCGATATCGTGAAATTTCGGAGCCGGTAACTCGCCAAAACTGCGACGGAGACCAGACTTTTTGGGGCTTTTCTCGGACGCATACTCCAACCAAAAAATGGTGCTTCCCATAAGGATAAGTCCTGCACAGTCGAGGATATATAGACCGATCTGAAGAGGGTCGATATCGCTAAGTCGCATGAGTTGAAATCGCCCTCGGGCTCGTCTGGCGCAAACAAGCCGTCTGCCCATACTGGCTGGTAGTTCACATCTCTCAAACAAGGCATGCTGGCCAAGAGCATTGCCACCGCTGATGGAGACAATTTTCGATGGGATCGCTGGTTCATAGAGAAGCGCGTGATGATTGGCACGGAGGGAATAGATGCCGACGGGGAGTTGGAGTGGATGTCAAGGAGGGTTCCTAGTAAGCGTTGCTTTAATGCTTGGTATTGAATCCTGGTGACGTAGGCCCCGGTGTTTCGATGAAGGTCGTAACTGGGTGAGCTAGCACTCAACTCAAATGTGAGGCCTTGAGCTGAGGCACCATCTTTCCATTCAGACAGGACCGAGAAGAGGTTGAGTATGGCGTCAGAGAATGCCTTTATGTCAGCCTTTCTTGTATCTTCATCCTCGAACTCGTAGTTCTCTTTTTGGGAGTACCGCGCCAAATGCACATGAAGAGAAATCTTTCTGACAAACTTCTGTCGACCATTCACGACCACATTCTCGAACTGCCGCATATCTGGGCGGGGAGTCTGGAGGCTCAGAGACTCGAAAAGGTCTGGCTCAAAGAACCGTTGCCATTCCCGCGCAACGTGGGCCCAGGCGGAAAATCTTTGGTCTGTGCCGGCTTGCTGTCGAAGATCTTCCAGGATTTGATGCCGTAACTCACATGGAAGAGTTTGGAGTCCCCATGTGTGCTGCGCCGAGTGCGACTTTCGGCACGCCATGTCCGATGCGATTGAGGCTTGGTAAGTCCAACTTACTGTAAGGTAGGCAACAACAGGTGATAGGATTAAGTAAAGTGAATTCTCTCGTGCAAACGAAAACTAGGAATAAATCATTCGGTTGGAACAGTAATTTTTAAATGTTGCAGATGGACAAAAAGGTCGACCATAAATGCTGCAACCTTGCCCGTCTATGTAGCTGACCGTGTATGCACCTTCGTGGTCACATCCGAAGTTCTCTCTAAAAAGTCTTCAATTCGGTCCCACATCGCAACTGGGTTGGTGTACATGACAAAATGACCACTCTTGGGAATCTCCGCTAGTTCAACGCCGGCTTTGGCAATGGCGGGTAGATACGACAACGTTGCGTGCTGCACCCCAAACATGAACATCCTGGGGCACGCCAGGCCCATGAAGATCCCAAGCAAATCTCCGTTGTCCGAATACTCCACCATGCTCTCAAACGTAGGACGTATAGCCTCAGTTCTGACCTTGGCCCTGAACGCAGCGGCGTAGACTCCGTTGCCGAAGAAGGCAGACTGCCGCGTGCGCTCGATGAATTCCGCGACGAACATCTCGGCATCTTCCGCCGGAAAGTCGAGGATCTGTCTGCTCAGGAAGCAATCTTCGGGAGCGAGGTTGCCCTTGATATTGGTGAAGCTCAGTACCGAGCCTGGGTTCCGCTGGGCGAGGAGTAAGGCCGTTAGGCCCCCCATGGAATGGCCGACGAGGTGGTATTTCTTGATGCCATGGGTCTTCAAGACTGCTTCAGCGACGGCGACGAGGAAGGGCATCGATAGCGCAGAGTAGTCCGCGATGGTAGAGGAGCCGCTCCCTGGTGCATCGTATGCAATGATTGGGTACTTGGAGAGTGACGGGTGGAGGTTGATGTCTGTGTAATCTTCCTTGGTGCTGCCGAAGCCATGAAGGAAGAGAATTGGTGCGGCAGGACCATCACGGCGTACGGCAGAGACTGAGATAGCAGTGCCGTTGACGGTGAGCGGGATCTGTTCCCAAACGAGATTTTGGCTCGGCTGAGCGTCGTTGCTTCGTGCGGGTGTAGTGGCCATTGTCAGAACGAGCTGGATGACGATTGGTTGAATGGAATAGAATGCTGATCTGATTATCTACGAACTCAATATTCCGTCAGAATCAAAAACCTTTAAAGGCCAGCCGCTCCGGGAGAATTCTGTAAGTCGCCGTCTTGCTTCCCGTCCGGCCGACAGTTCGTCGGCGCCGTGTTTGACTCGGGAGGTCCGCCGATGTGGGACCACTAGCGAGGATGGGTGCCGAAGGGCTCGGTCATCGTGGGATTTGGCCGTCGGCAATGCTTCATTTTGACCGAGCAGACGCTCATCAAAGCCGTGATCCCATTTCGTACCTATTGGATGCAGGCCTTCTTTCCAGTGTTTCTCATGGTCATACAGAATTGCGATCTATCGGCATCAGCTTCCATAAGATGGCGCAGCATTCACCTTTTCACGAAGCCTGGCTTTTCGATTGTCGGCCTGCATCGTACATCAAACCCTGAACCGATCCTTCTCGCTCATTTCGTAGGAGGCTGAGTCGCTAGTGTCTCCCATTCAAACGAACCCAGAGGCAGTGAGACTGCGCCGTAAGAGCTACCACTACGAAAACACTCATTTGCTTCACCTGAGTTCACCGCACAGGTAGCCGTTCCAAACCGTTTGGCGAAATGACTTCAGCCCAGGCTGCCGCGTCAGTGGTACAGATGCTCCCAGCTTTGCCCCAAGCTCTGCTAAGGCGCTGCCAAAAACCGGACCGCCTTGGCTCGAGCTTCAGAGCGAACCATCAGCAAAGCTCAGTAATGCAGACGACACAAGGGATCTTCGATGCGCCCGATAGCTGTCAGGAAAAGAGCTTGCCAACTTTACTGGTATTTGACATTCAACGGCCGGCCGTTCGGCAGACTTTCAAACAACGCACACCCTGGATGTCGGAATGGAAACATCGGCCCGCGTGGGATCTGTAACATTCAGCCACGAACCCCTGAATATCAGGGGCAGACCCTCTGCAGTGCCGGTCACTTGGACGGGGGAATTGATGAGCAAACGAAGCTTGATTACAGTATCCAGCTGCCCTCATCGCTTCCGTCAGCTCTCCGCGTCAATGGACACGGTCCAGCCTTTTTGCAATGGTCAGACGGCGCCCACTGTCAGAGATGGGAGACAACAATGATGGGCGAGGCGTGGAGATTGGAGATTGGAGAGACCCGGTCATCCCACGCGAACCCTTGCCAAGGGCGGCTCAGCGGGGGCCACGTCAGGGGTCTATCACTAAAATAAGAGTCTGACATCAGGGTGAAAGGGGAGAAGATGCGCACGTTGGACGGGGCCCCTATTCCTCGGGTTCCGGGCGGTGGTTGTTCGATTGAAAGTCTAGAATCTGTGCGACGACAGTGGTGCATCCCATCTCTTCAGACGGCTGTCATCCGAACAGCACGGGAAGATGCAGTGAGTGCGCATTCTGCAACGAACGCATTTGCTATTGGGTGTTTCGTGAATCGTGCTTGCACCATGAACAGTTCGCTTTCGCCAACGAACGTTGCGGTTCAAGGCTAATTGCCGCCGCATGAAGTCGTTCTCAACCTGTAACTCAACATCGCCATCACAGCCCGTGTAATCCAAACAGTGCCCTGAGATTGGCTCGCAGCATCCCCAAGTGGCCCTCTCCAGAGCCGTATCCGCCAAGGATGGACCGCGCGGCATCGAGGCAGTGTCGACGACGAAGGAAAAAGACTGGAGCTTCCAAGCTGCTGATCGCACAACACCGCTGGCAGCAGTCAGCAGAGGCCAAGCCCAAGTCGCACTCGCCATCGGCTGGGCCCAGTCAGTCGTATTTGCCAGGTGCATTTCCTAGATCCTTGGCTCGGGCGCACCCTGGTGAACCACCGTCTCGTATTTCTCTGGGCGGCGGTTTCCTTGCGTCTTCGTTTCGGCGATTGAGTTGAATGTGGCTGGGCTCAAAAGGTAAGAGATAGGTGACGGGAGCCAGAGATTGCCAGCAATAGCGACCTCGTTTCTGGTTTATTACTCCCCCGTACCCGCCGCCGTCGTCTCATTGCCGATTTCTTCTTTCCCAGTTTTCCCCTCGATTCGACCACCACGAATAAGATTGATACCCGCAAGCACCACTTTTTGCCCTGCTCGCCTTCCAAGTCGTGTGTAATTGCTCTCTTGGTTCCATTTCGTTATCCCGTCGTGCCATCCCGCGAATCTCGCCCACGTGTTGTCCACCTACACCAACGCCAATCCTGACCTCGACCCCAAGACGACATCGTTGATCACCGCACTGAACAACGAAAGATCACCTCGATCATCGATAGCCGATTCCAGAACCAACAAACCAAACATCCAGACCAACACCCGCCAAGATGAAGTACACCGTCGCGCTCAGCATCTTCACCGGCCTCGTCGCCGCGCAGTCCGCCACCACAACCGCCGCTTCGTCCAGCTCAACAGACCTCGCAGGTCTCGTCGCCCAGCTTCCCTCATGCGCAACCAGCTGTCTCACCAAAGCCGCCACGACCATTGGATGCTCCGCGACCGACTTTACATGTCTCTGCAACAGCAAGGACACTCTTACGTCCAGCTTGACGACCTGCATCCTCACTGCCGGATGTTCCACCACTGAGATTGCCAGTAAGTCTTCTTTCCCAAAACCATTTAGATATCAAGAATAAAGCATGGCTAACTGGATGATTTACAGCCGCCGCCAAGGTCGCCCCGCAAATCTGCAGCTACGTCGAAGCCAACCCCGACTCCTCCGCCATCGCCTCCGCCTCGAACCTCCTCAGCGGTGCTCTCGCGACTGCGACCGCAACCGCTAGCTCCGCGTCCCCGGCCAGCGCCACAACCGCCGCCGCCGTGCGTCCGGAGATGGGCTTCGGCATGATCGGCGCCGCCATGCTCGGTGCCGCGATGCTTTAAACGGCGGAAAGTGCAAACAACATTGGGTTTAACATGGGTCGCTGGCGTTTTGGGACTGATTGCAACCACTGGGGCACGGGTCATCGGTTGCATTTGACTTTAGACGGGCGCGAAGCCCTCGTAGACGTCCTCTTCATGACTCTTGAGCTCTGGGGTTTGACGAGGTTTTGGGCAATTGGTAGCACCGCTTTAGGTCGCTGTTCTCTTCGAAGTTCTTCACGCGGGAGTGCGTTGGCGCGCCGCACTACACATACCCTTGCTAGCATCAAATTACAGATTTTATTGGTGTTGTCTTCATGCATTGAAATTTCCATTCCAAACTTCCGCATTAAAAAAATGAAAGATGGCTAGTTAATCTCTTTCAAATTCAGAAGGTACTCGCAGGGCCATATTGCTGCTTAGACTACCAGGCGCCTTGAGTCGCATTATTCAGACGAGCAATCACTGCTGGGTGAATAGAGCAAAAATCATCCACGTCCAAAAGATTAGGGAGAACTGATTATACCTTACGGCGCGATCATCAGACGGGTTCGCCGCCTCTTCAAATTGATATAGGCAAAAATACACGGCCGTTCTCCCTCTCTCTGCCACAGAAGCTGAAGGGATCTGACCACCTAATGCCAGGTCTCACAGGATGTATGATTATAACAATCGATGGTGTAGCGTCAAATTGACGACTCGGCAGCTTGTTTGATGAAGTAACTGGCCTCGAACAAGATCCAGTACCCAACAGCCGCGTCAAAAATCGAGTCAACGCCTTCATTACAATGCATCACTCTGGATAGCAGCCTGCATCTCCGTCTCTATAAAATACCAGGATACAAGATAGCAACCGCAACTGAAGGCCAGAGATATGCTGAAACACACCGCCGTGACCATCTCGGGGCCCCACGCCACCGCCCGCGCTGCTTCTGCATAAACGGCGATGCACATGCTGACAATAACAAACACAATACTATTTCCCAGCAGCATGGTGGGTGTCTGCCACGCAAAAGATTTCCAAAATAACTGCGGCTTGACAATCGACGAAGACGATGTCAATGGTTCTGGTAAGACTATATGCTGAACGATATTGGCGAAACGGGGATGTATACTCGCCCTACTCAATGCTACCATTTGCTGGGTTGCGACGCCAAGTCCTACGAGTGAGTGCAGGAGAGAACATAGCAAACACACTTTTGCGGTGTATGGCGGAACAGGAAACCAGTTCCATGAGAGAAGACCAGCTGAAAGAGATGCAACGAGGGCGCTCTACCCGATGACTTAAGCAACGCAATTATTGACATGATAAGTTCGGGGAAACTCACTCCAATAAGTACATTCGAGATTTCGTCTTGCTTCGATTGAACGAAACGCCTTATTAAAGTCGTCTTTTCATCATCTGAGGCAGCAGCAATAGTAGCAGCAAGAACATTCGCGACATTCTGAGCATTTCCAGATGGTGACCAAGCCATGCGAATGTACTTCGTCGTGTACCAAAGTGTCTTGAAAGGAGTCAGAATGAGGTGGCTTGGTTTTGAATATATCACTATGATTGGGCAGTCTTACCTGTTTGGTGAAGTCAGTAGCGCGAGCAATAAGTCCGATCATTGTAGGTTATCGATGTAAACTACGTGAGCTATCAATGGCGATCTTACGTTGAATAATACGCAGAGGTGGAGGAGGCAATGTAAAGCCGTAAGCGAAGCGCCGGAAGATCTTCATTAATACTCTGTAGTGAGGCGCCCAAACACAGGTGTGATTCAGTTGCGTCAATTTGGTTTGACGTCTGGTTGCGAAGTTTGTTCAGCCGCAGCCTGCCAAGCAACGCTTGCGCTTTGTATAGAACAGGCTGGCACTGTGCTACCGCCCAGGGATGGAAAATGCAACTTGTATTGGCTGATAATGATTATGCCGTCAGATATCTTGCATAAGCCACCGTAAGTTCGGTCGAGCTGAGGCTCTGCAGCTGCACGGCGGCAGCGCATTGGTCGCTACCCATCATGTGGCCAAATATTAATCAGGTGCTGCACAAGATGTTATGAATTACATATCATGTCTTAACTGCAGCTTCTAGGTCTTGTGCTTCTGCCTGAATTTCGGGTCTCGTGACGCAAGCCACCAAATGCCCACGAGGCCTGAAATTACAATACAACGCTCTGTATATATTGACACTACTGCCTCCGTTGTCTTTTCGCCTTTTGTTTCATGCCACCCATATATACTGTGAGTTGTCCAAGAGATCCGGAAGTCACACAACTTTTATAGCCGGATCACACACCTTGCTCCTTCGCTTCACGTATCTGGAGAGAGCATTTGGACCTAGAGAGACTACGGTATGCGTAATGCATTATCGTTGAATCCGTTTAACAACTCAAGCTAAGAAACGTGAAAGATTTCGACGCAATAGTCTAATCAAACTGAAACCGAATCATGAACGACAGAGATGTAGCTCGTGGTCTCAGAGCGATCCACTTGCTGGTCACCCCGGCCGGAACACCAGGTCTGAGCGGATCCCAGGATACTCGGCCTGGCAACGCAATCCCCCTTCCATCATATGCACAGCACTGGGGAATCAGTGTTGGCGCCACGTCCGATGCGGATGGGGGAACCTATTTTGAGCTGTATCGACCGAATGGTGGAATAGGCATTCTGACGCGTTCCGGACAGCAACGTGCTAAAGAAGAGGCAAAGAATTCCGACAACCTGCTGTATCAAGATACGGAGGTTGCCACATCAAAGACAAATGAAGAGATTCTAGCTATCGGTAATTGGGCGCTCCACACATCCTTCTCTTCATTGAGTAACTTACTAAACTGATATTTCAGCAAATGAGCTATGCACCGGCCACTTGCAGGGGAAATATGACCTTATTGATGGCAACTGCCAAACCGTGGCAAACATGCTGGTTGAGCGTATCTCTACAACCCGTTACACTCCCCGTCAGACCTCGTCACACGCATTTGGGGCTTTGAGACCAGACAAAGTTGGAATCGGGACGGGGCCTCCGTGGCAGCAAGCCGTGCCCTTCCAGGGTAACGAGATTGCGACCAATCTCCAGGGCAGATGGAATGCAACAGCAAAAATGCTTCAAGAGTCTGTTCCAAGCCTTGATGCCGCAGCGACAGCTATTGAATTCAGTGCTCCTGTAGTAGGGCAACATACTAGCGCGATGACGAACTCGGCATGGATTCACAGCCAGACTGTACCAATGAGGCAGCTTTATAACTCGAACAAAAATCTCTTTGGCGATGACAATCTGGAGGCAAGAGCGGCGGCAAGAATCCAGAACGGTACCGACCTAGGCAGTCGGTGCGGTGTTAAGGACAGTCTTTTCCCCAATGCGGGGAGAAAAAAGGGTTAGGCGTGGCGGTCTTTTGTGTGGGCTGAAAGCTTTCCATTACGGCAATACAACGCAGTCCCGAAGTTGATGCATGTTTTCGCGCACCGTTGATCTCTCTTCACTGTCTGTGACGAAACGTACCAAATGGCATGATACGGACTCTGCGCGGCGGATATTTCAAGAAAGGCAAGTTGTTTAATCGCACTGGTTGATGTGAGAAAAGAAGGTTGTGCGAATGAGTTTCGTTTACAAGCGGAATGTAACACAAGCTGCAATGACGACGACGACACCTATGATAAAAGTAGCCAGGGATAATAGCAATATTAACAACCATGGTCATTACAACAGCTTTGATCATAATCAAAAAGCAATGACTGAGTAATCCAATGAATAGGAAAGAAAGTGAACATCCAATACCAAGAAGAAAACCGCAGATTGAGTGAGAGTGACAAGTAATGAATAAACATAATTTTTGAAGTTGAGATATCTAAGTAGTACTTCGCAAATTTGTTTGCCAATGACAACCAATAATGCTCAAAGTGGCTATTCAAGCCCAGCTACTCTAGATCTAGAGGGTATTCGTATGTGCCTCTATTCTAACCCCATGCTGATGAGATATACCTATCATGCTCCGGCTTCCCAGCGAGCCTTCAACTTATCAATCATCATGCGAACAAACGTTACATCCGTAACGTCAGGCAAATTTCTCAACGTCGGGCTGTCCTTCTTGCTCTGTTCCGTCAAGTATTCAAGCCCGCCCTTGAACGTGCCGGCCTTGTTGCCATACTTGCTCTCGAACCAGTCCAGAAGCTTGATCGGCGGGTTCTTCTTCGGGTCTCTTTCTGATCTGCGCAATCTCTCCATCCATTGGTCTGTTGGCAGCGCCTCGAATTCCAAACCAGCCTTGGCCAGTGACGAGAGCATCTGCTGAGTCCAGTGGAAGCGGGTCGGGTTGAGGACGTGGTAGACGAGATCTGCGTCTGAGTCTCGTCGGACGATCTCTTCATCTGACTTGCTCCTGTCGGCGTTTGTCATGTCGAGGATGATGGCCGCGGCTAAGTCAACCGGTAGCCACGACATTTCCTTGGAATGAATTAGCAATCGATCGCAGTGTGAGAACTTCGGAATAGCTCACCTCTTCAAGTTTGGGTAGTGCCCCCAGCGTCGCAGCAGTCTGAATCATCAACGGGATTCCTTCCGTTGTATTCCACTCTCCGACCTTGCTGTCTCCAACCAGCTGCCCAATTCTCAACACCCGCGCAGCCGCACCGGCACTCTTATTCGCATTCCGTGTGACGTGCTCAGAGACGTACTTGGACCTAGCGTATCCCGTGCCCTGGGCGTTCTTCGGCGTCGGCACGGGACCTTCCTCCACCGTGCCCGGCCTCGGCGTGCCACCGGCCGAGGAAACGGACGAACAGAAGAAGAAGCGCGCCGGCGAGGGCGTGTCGACGGATTGGCAGAGCTGGATGAGATTGTAGACTGCCTTGATGTGCTGGTCCTCGAAGCTTTGCACCGGGATGTTGAAGTTGACGGCCCAGGCGCTGTGGATCACGAGGGTGAGGTTCGACTTGAGGTCCGCGAGACGGGACGGAGCGAGCCCGAAGTCTGGGGCGCCGAGGTCGGCCGAGAGAGGCACGATCTTGGCTTCTTGGGCGGATGTGAGGGTGATACCGCGGGAGGAGAGCGAGGTTGAGACGCGGGTTGCTGCGGCGGCGTCGTTGGGGGCGCGGACGGCGGCGTAGACTTGGGCGATGTTTGGGAGGGATGTGAGCTGGGCTAGGATGTGGGCTCCCAGACCGCCGGTGACGCCGGTGACGAGCTTTGGGGACTGTTAGTGAAAGTCTCTGAGTTTGAGAAGGGAAACTTACGACAAGGTCCTTTCCAGGCTTGGGAGCTGACCCTGGGACGTGTGTCTTGAAGGAGGAGTACTTGGCTATCAGTTCCTCCATCTTCTCCAACTCGTCCTTGACCGCATCTTCTCTGCCACTCTTTAGCCCCTCGAGGTGGCGAGCAAGTTGCTTGATGTTGCCAGTCTCGTACAACACGTTTTGGCCAAGTTGCCCCTGTCGGCCGCCCAAGTCGAGCTTCCTCTTGATCAGACTCCACGTCTGGATGCACAGCAAACTGTCAATGCCGGATGCGAAGAAATCCGCCTCCACCGATGGGAGAGCATTCTCAGACTTCTCATTGAGCTGTTGGAAAAGCCAGTTCTCAAGTTCCGCGCCCTCCAGAGAGAGTGAACCGCCCTTGTCGTTGTCGTTCTCGTACCCATCGTACGCGGCCTGGATCTCCTTCTCAAACTTTCGGTAAAAGGGCACCCGGATAAAAGTTCCCTTATCCGTCTTGGGGTACTCAGCATCAGATGGCAGGATGACAACGAGCTCCTTGGGGATACGTGAAAATGACTCGGCTTGGGCGTTGGCAGCTTCCACAGCGGGCCAAATCTCCTCAAGAAACTGCTCGTCAGGCATGTCGGCCACGCTATCAGCCTTGACGATCAGCACACCAGGATAGTCCCGCTGCTCCCCAAAGACGATGGCCTCCTTGACGATCTGCTCCAGGCGGATGCGTCCCTCGATGGGGATGGGCAGGACCTTCTCGCCGTTGATGAGGGTGAACCGGTCGTCGAGGCGGCTGATGTACTTCCACATATCCGGCTGCGTGGGGTGGCGCGTGAAGAGGTCCCTGGTGCGGAAGGAGTTTGGCGGGTCGTCCGAGTTGTTGGTGCTCTTGGAGGGCCAGCCGTCGAGGCAGACGCACTCGAAGATGCCGGGGGAGATTTCGTCCATGAGGATGTAGGGCTTTGCGACGGCGAGTGGGCGCATGTAGTTCCATGCCTTGTCGCCTGCTGGACGAACGGAGTTCATGATTCTGCCGATCTCGGTGCTGTGTTGTTGTCAGTAGGTCGTAGGGGCGGAGAAGAAGGGAGTCACTTACCAGCCGTAATTGCCGACGAGGTAGACACCCTTGCTCACTAAGCGGTCACCGAGGTCATCTGGACAACTACTGCCGCCGAAGAGCACCAGTTTCACATTCGCGAGCGCCTGAATGCCTTCTTCCGTTTCTGCGAGAAGCTTGACCACGTACGGCACCACGTGGAAGACACCCGGCTTCACGTAATCAAGCATCTTGATGAGATTCTGACTCGTCAAGGGAATGCTGTAGTTGCCCATGTAGATCGGCAACTTGGAGTACATGGACCTGAAGATCTCGTAGAAACCATGGCTGTGAAATAGAGGTGAACAGATGAAAGCCCGCAGACCCATGTTTGTCATGGATGCGCCGATGACACTGCGATGCGTGAGGTAAATCGGCTTCGGGAGACCCGTCGAGCCGGACGAGTGGATGATGGCCATGATCTTCTTGTTCTCCTTTTCCGGGTCGTAAGATCGTGTGAACCTGGGAGCGTCCTTGCCGTAGTAATCCGAGTGTTGGATGAGCGGTAGGACTTCGAGTTGATGCTGCTTCTGAACTTCCGACAATACAGGGTGGAAGTTTGGCGTTGTTAACATGGACTTGCAGTTCGCTAGGTCGCAAAGGCGAGTGATTGCCGGGCTTGCGAGACGGGTTGAGATGAGGAATGCCGCGCAGCCCAGACGGTTCAGCGCCATGATTGTGATTGCGACATGAAGTCCGGATTGGGCGAGGATGCCTACCGCCGGGGACTGTTCTAACGCTGGGTCCTACGCCTCGTCAGTGAAGGTACACGCAAGGGTTTCGAGGTGGCCTACCGCCGGAGAAATGCCCAGTTCCTGAAGCCTTTGTGCCGCCGCATCGACATATCTGTCTATGGCGCGAAAGCTGTGTTCTTCAAAATCCAAGAGTCCCTCCTTGGGATATCCGATGGCAACCGCATCGGGGATTTCAAGCGCGCGGCGGCGGACAAGCTCGTCGACGGTGTAGAGGGGTCGGTCGAGCTTTGACACCGTCAACTTTGACGACGTCGTGGTAGTTTGCGTCGCCATGGTGAAGATACCTGCAGGGCTTACTCTACAAGGGATGTGATGTAGGATGTCGAGAGGTGAAGATGGTCGAGCTCAATTTATGTAGTTGGCTCCCCCCACCCGGTCGGCAGCACGTATCCGTTGCAATTCCGTCCCCGCCGCATGCAAGGGCATGCTTGGCGCTTCGGGCCCGGGGCGAACCCCGCGTTTCCCGCATGACGCTTTTTCTGCCCTACAATGGATCTACGATCGGGGAAGTTTGCTGATGTTCGTAGCTACGAGCGTCTGTTACCGTTCCGATGGGATAATTATTATTTCCGGCAGTGAGGTTCATGGATAGAAAGCGTCCACGAGGTGTTGCGGAAACCCCTCCGTGAGAGTTGTGGATTTGCCGGCTACAGATGGGTCCACTTCTGCGGATTCTCGTACTTCAATCGAGTCCAGATGTTCGAAGACATGATTGGGGAGAACTCAAAGTATCCAGAGAGATGGATCTCGAGGAGGGATGAGGGGGGCTTGCGTAGCCAATCATAATTCGCCCACCGGTTCGTCGGCTGTTTCGCTTACTTCCCGGAAACAATAAGAAGTTGCCAGGCTCTGTTTTCCGGATGAACAAGAGGCCAATGACAACGTGGATTTAGCTGACCGGACCCATGCCTGTGCATGTCATTGAAGCCGTTGTGCATAGCCGTCAGGATAGCTCCGTTGGTTTAAATGGCTTTCATGGCCCCGAGATTTGGAGCATTAGGAAAGCAGGCAACCCCTCGCTTGCGGTTACAGACGGCGCTATTTCGTCGGCTGCAGATGGAGTACACCAACATACCTGCTGCCACCAAGACTTTGGCCCGCCATCATGCTTTCGCTAGCAAGCATCCTTCGATGGGTCCAGCATACCCCACGGGGAAGCCAAGATATCATATATGTACCCCGGATTCAGAAGTTCTAGCTACCCCAGACTTGCCCACTTGCGGCAGCGAGTTTGCCTACACCTATGAGAAAGTCTCGCGTGAGGTGAACTTGATTGGTGCAATATTGCGAACAATGATTTTGGATGACTGAGGATAGGAGTTTGGTCTGAGACGTATCCGTCCATCTTTAAGCGTCTGTAGCAGCGCCGCACGCGTGGGCGAAATGACTTAAAACGTCCTCCCAATTCTGTATTCCAACATGATAATCATCTTATGAACATCCTGTCCTGGTTGTTTTCGCGTAAGCATCGACGAAATTCTCAAATCCTCATCATCATGGCTGTCAGTCAAAAATCTCAGGTGGATCCGCACAAGGACCAAGAAACTTGCGTCGTTGACCATGTCGACTATCAAGAAGAACTCAAGCCCGTTGATGAGAGAAGACAGCCCGACAAGTTTGGATCCGTCGACAAGGTCGACCCTAAAGAAATTGCTCTTGTGAAGAAGCTTGATTTGTACCTCATGGTGCGTCTTTCCTGGAGACATGGGTTTATCTTGATAACAATTCGCTAATTCTTTCTCCGCAGCCAATTCTATGGGTCATGTACTTTCTTGTAAGAGAGCATCAAGAAACTTTCTTCGGTATTGGATTCTCTAATACTTCGTAGAACTTCCTCGACCGAAACGCCATTGTCAATGGAAAACTCAACAATCTTGATAAGGATCTCAATATGGTCGGCTCTCAATACAACACTTGCGTCAGCATCTTCTTTGTGGGGTAAGCCCTTGCGGTACGGACATGAAAGCCCGATAGTTGACAAGATGATGCAGATACATCACCGGGCAAATTCCCTCCAACATGCTCGTCACCCGCGTTAAGCCCGCCTGGTATATGTCAGGGTGGATGATGGCCTGGGCCGTTGTGTCGACTCTAATATGCATTGTCAAAGACTATCATGGAATGCTGGCTTGCAGGTATGGCCACTATAGTCGCTCCTCTTTCGGTCTATGTAAGATAGCTGACTTTTCTTATGTGCTCAGGCTCATCCTTGGGGTCACAGAAGCCCCCTTCTACTCCGGCGCCTGCTACATGGTCAGCCTCTTCTACACCAGAAAAGAGACTGCAACCCGATTGGCTGTGTTTTATACAGGCAATCTTCTTGCTAGCTCCTTCTCGGGTCTGATCGCGGCCGGTGTCTTCGCTGGTCTTGACGGGAAACATGGCCTCGCTGGTTGGAGATGGCTGTTTTTGATACAAGGAGTTGCCACTGGTACGTCAGAGGCTGCAGTCGTATCTTGATTCCGTCTGCTGACAGTTTTGGAAGTTGGCGTGGCAGTCGTTGCTTTATTCCTACTTCCCAACGCTCCCCTCGAGACCCGATGGCTTACGCCAGAGCAACGGCAGCTAGCCCACGATCGAGTAGCCAAAGACACCACAGAAAAGCGTCAGGCAACAAGTACTTGGTCCGGTTTGTGGGAAGCCGCGACAGACTATCGCACTTGGGTCTTTGCTCTGATGGGCAACCTCCATCTGTCCGCAAACGGTTTCAAGAATTACATGCCGACAGCGGTGAAGTCTCTCGGCTTCAATACAACCATCACGCTCGTACTCACATGTCCGCCCTACTTGATTGCCGGTGCAGCATCTGTGTTAGTGTCCTGGTCTTCTGGGAGATACAACGAGCGAACTTGGCATATTACCGTTTCTAAGATTGTGGCGAGCATCGGGTTCGCTCTCGCGACGAGCACGATGAATATCGGTGCACGGTACTTCGCTATGGTCCTGTTCGTTGGAGCTACGTACGGCGTGAACAACATTAACGTTGCGTGGACGGCCGCTACTGTTGGCCAAACGGACGAGAAGAAGGCGGCAGCGATTGCCATGGTTAACACACTAGGCAACCTGTCATTCGTGTATACGCCCTATCTCTGGCCCGACAGCGACAGCCCACTTTTCAGGAAGGCAATGATTGCGAGTATTGGTTTTTCGATGGGCGTCGTCATGACGGCGTGGTTGATGAAGTTCATCTTGGTACGGATGAACAGACAAATAAGGACTACGCAGGAGGAGGCCACGAACTTCTACGCCTACTAGGTCGCAAATACAATACTCGCTACTGTGGCGCAGCGTTGATATTGATGAGGTTTGCTAAGAAAGTGGAGCGATCAACAGCAGCTTCCTACCGCTGTGTGGCATAGACAGGAAGGTTCTGAGATTTTCTGGCCAAGTTGAGTCTAGTTAGCTGAAAATGAAAAAAAAAGACCTCTAACTGCAATACGTGAATTTCTGTTTCCGGCTTAAATTCACGTCTAGGCCGCGCTGGCTTTCGGAGAAACATTCTGCAAACGCGCATATGTTCCAAAACGAATCTCCGTTGTAAGGAAGCCATCATCGCTTCGGAGAAACCAAGTTGAGAATACATATTATGAATTAACAATTCTGCCCAAAAGCTTTTACTTTCTGCAACCAATCCATACTTTGTTTACACCATAAGTGCTACGAGGCGAGGATACCCACGAATTACGACTTGGAGCGACACAACACGAAATTGATCCTTGGCTACATTGCTAAGCGCTCCGTTGGTCACCATGGAACCATGCAATCCGACTTTCCACTTAAAGGCCCCCCTTAATAATGGCGCGGAGCCAAGTTCTCCTTTTCGGTTTACAGACTTACCATCAGAACTTCGTTATCTGATATTGGGGCATGTTCTTGACGACCTTGATGAGGATTCCGACCTTGAGAAGGAGCCGGACGTCGATGACCCGGATGAGGAACCCAACCTTGATGGGGAATCCAATATTGATGAGGAGCCCTCTCCAAAGCCGAAGATCGTCGACATCATTGGACAGCTCAATGACATGCTTGTGCAGACTCATAACAGATCTGCGCTATTGAACGGCATGCTTAACTTGGGCATCAACGTAGGTGCGACGCACGATGTTATAGCACTAAACAACGACTTGCTTGCGCGAACCAACGACTGGTATGCGCGAGCTAATGACATGTTTGCGCGAGCTAACAACACGAATGCGAGGCCCGACAATCTTGCTCTGGAAGTTGACCTGGAATACCCGCAAGCCAACATGCTTGCGGAGCCCGAGTTGATTCCGAAGCCTCAGAAGTTGGCAAATTTGGCGTGCGTGTCCAAGGAATGGCAGCGATTCTTCGAGGAGCACACATTCAGCACCCTGGAGGTCACGTTAACCAATTCTCCAGCTGAGATTGAGGCTCTCTGAGAGATGGTGAAGGGCTACCGCAGGACTTTTGTTGAAGAAATCACACACAATATCGAGCTTCCGGGAAACTCTTCGGGCAACGTCGAAGTCGAGACTGAAAAGGAGATTCGGAGGAACAATGCTCTCTTCACGATGGCCGCGTTTTCGCTCTTTAAAGTTTTTTTTTTTTTTTTTTTTTTTTTNAAATTTTTTTTTTTTTTTTTTTTTTGGCAAACTGGACCGGCCCAGAGCACGACCATGGTTTGGCGCTTCGTATTAACGTCAGGTCCGCGGACGATGTTGAAGACTGGCCCCCAAGGATGCTGGGCAGTCTGCTAAATTTCAAACTGAAAAAGCTGTCGCTAGTTCCTATGGTGAATGAGCTTTTGTGGATATTCTATTCTGAATCAACTCGAAGCGCTTCAGCAAATGCTATTAGCATCCTGCTCAGGGGCATGAACCACCTAACAAGACTGGTATATCACCCACATTGCTCGCAACTCGGAGAAGGCCAGTCTTTACGAGACGACGCCTTTTTGGCCTTATTCCAAAAACACAGGGGTTGGGTGAAATGCATGGTGGTCAGAGAATCCGCATATCTCTTGGAGGACAATCCGTTCACGGAGAAGAGGGAGGATCTTGCACTTGCCTGTTTCCACGCGAGTCTCCATCTCGAGTCCTTGATTACATCGCGGGTAGTTGATGCGTTCGACTTTTTCCGTTGCACGGGGGATTTGGGAATACCCATCGAGTCTCGGAGACAAGCCTGGCCTGAGCTGAATCAACTTGTCTTATCTTGCAATTTGTCAAGTTCATCATTTGACGAGGAGATGATGAACACCGTTCTTCTCGCAGCTGGAAAGGCCGCAATGCGAGTGCCTAAATTGGAGAAGATGATCATATGGTCATGGGACGCAGAAAACTATGTCGCATTTTTTTCTGGGTATGTGCTTCGCTGCATTAAGCCATATTCTTTCATTGATATCCGGACAACATGGAGGTCTGCACTCAACCAAGAAGTTGTGAGATGCTGGGAGAATGCAGTGACGGAAAAGACGAGCTATGAGCTCATCGTCGAACCACAGCGCCTTGACTGGCGGGATGAGCACGTTGTCAATGAGTTGCTCGAAGATTTAGAGACATCTAATTCAATCCTGTTTCCTGAAACGAGTAAATAGAAATACATAAAACCCTCGGTGTTTTCCTATCCCTGATGCACCAAACTCTTCTTGGTCCGGCTGAATTGCCTTGCCTGTCAACGTTCTCGCGGCAGAAATCCGCACGAAAATGAACGGGCGTCTCTTGAGTTCCAACATTGAATATCCACAGTTACCTACGGTCCTGAATTTGTTCGTGAGCTTCCCAATCATTGCTTTACTCGACAAGCGCCATGCTGCGTGGCTCCATTCTTATGCCTTTAGGTACGTTATCCACATGATGCAGGCTTTTGAGCCTCAAAATCAAAGTGTATAGCGATAGGCTGGGTGACGATGGCCGAGAAGATGAACTCGATCGCCAATCAGCCGGCTATCCCGATCACCCCTTTCCCGTTTCACATTCTCCCACCTGCAGTACAACATCTGAATGCAGACAGTAGCAAAGCATAGAATTAGAGAGCCGATGCAGACAGAATGACCCAAGATGTAATCCGGACTAGGCATCAGATGGTCAATATCACTTGTAATCTCGCATGCCATCCGATAACTTACGCATTCTTTTGCAGATAGATGAATGTTGCCGGAAAAGCAGCCATATTTGCCAATCCAATGAGGAGTCCCACACCAGTGGCACGAACGTAGTGAGGCGCCAAATTGTTCGAAAGCCATCCCTAGCCATGTTAGAGATCTCTCATCCAAGCAGTAACAAACAAGCTTTAGACTTACCATAATCATTGCCGACCCTGGATAGACGCCGGTTGCGACTAAGAATGTCCCGCCGTATCTCACTCCGTTTGACTTCGACGCCAAAACCATGATATATCCGCAAAGAGCAACAAGAGTCCCCACAGCCATGATGGGTCCACGGGCCTTGATCCTGTCTGACAAGCTGGCTGTCAAAAGAACAACGAAGAAGGCGGCCATGTTGGGAGGCACAGTGAGAAGTTGCGCTTGGGTAGTATTGCGATAGCCTAGGCCTTGTATAATTGACGGGAGGAACAGCGAGAAGCTCTGTTGGGAAAGAGGTTAGATGCATGGTCCACCGAGCGAGCTGTCGAAGGAAGACATACGTAGAGTGGGATAAGGAGAAAGATCCATGCCAAGGCGCAGAAATAGGTCTGCGGAGCAAGCACAGCCATTCTGACCCAGTGCCAACTAAAGTGTTCGTCGTTGACATCTTCAACGTTTGTTGCCCCATGAGAATCTTCTCTCAAACGTTTCATGGCCTGTGTTCGTTCTTCAGGAGTGAGGAATCTCGCGTCGGCCGGAGTGCTCGGCATAAAGAAGAAGCATGTTATGCCAAATACCGTCGTAATTATTCCCTCAACTGCAGCTGATTAGCACATAAAGTTGTAGCAGTCTAGGGGCGCTCACTGAAAAAGATCCAGGGCCATCTGTTGTAGCCACCATGACGAATGGTAGCCAAGCCAGTCGCAAGAAGCCCTCCGAAAGCCCCTGACAGAGGAGCCGCGCAGTAGAATAGGCCAATACGGTAGAGCATCTGATGTCTTCGGTAGAACATAGCGAGATATACCACAATGCCTCCCAGGAGTCCTCCCTCAAAGAGGCCTAGAAAGAGGCGGCATACTACCAATCCGGCGAAGCTCTTAGTGAAGCCGAGGAACGTGCTTACTATGCCCCAGCACGTTATCAAAGTCGGAAGATATATACCCGCCCGAACCTTTTTGACAAGCCAGTTGCTCGGTACGTCGACAAGAATATAGGGGATGTAGAATACCAACAGCGCTATGTTGAACTTTGTTCCAGTGGAAATGTTGAGGTCCTCGGTAAGGCCATCGATCTTAGCGTTTCCAATGTTGCTTCTGTCAATGAAGGCAAATAGCCTCAAAGGTGTCAGTGTAAGAACTCGACAAGATCATACTGGAGATCGCACCATATACCAAAAAGCCAAGGAATGATATGATAGTCGAACTTGCGGTCGAGCTTCTTGCTCAAGACAGGGTCAATGTCGAAGTGAAGTTGCGATTGCCTGATGTTTTCGACACGGCTGTCCGAAGGCTTGCCGTTCTCGATGTCATCGTGGACGTCAAATGTGCCGTCGCCATCATGGGTTTTCTCAGCCATCCTACTGGCTCTTGGGCAATGAAGGCACAATCACCGAGTGGTTGGTCGAAGTAGAAGATCTAGGGAGTGATTACACGAGAGACGAATTGTCTATGTGATCTTAAGCGACAGGCAACTTTCAAGTAAAGAACGTGGTTCACTGATCAAGGTCCTTGGGATTTATACTTTGCCCTGAAGCCTCCTTTTTCCCGTCACCTTTCCTAAGACGGACCCAGCAATGCCACCTTGGAGCATCCTTCGGGATTAATTCCCCGCGCTTCTTATCCGCTAGAACCAGGGTCGCCATCACCCCACGGGGTCATCGTGCGGGGAAAGCATGGATGATAGCTCAAATGTTTCCAAATAGCCATCTCAGAATCGAAGATGCCGACAATTTTCCTGCGGGGTTCAGGTAGGTCAGTGTGAGAAGCCAATCAATGACGTGAGTTAGTGATCGTGATGCGATAAGGCCCCAGCTTGGAGTGTGTATAGGTCAAGGTGACGACTAGGGGCATGGCGAGTGAGAGTTTGCTTGAACGATATGTCTTAACGGCTACCTGGATCTACCACATCACTGCTCGATACCCAATTCTTTGAATATGGCCTCGTTGTGTTCTCCCAGTTCCGGGACCTTTTCCATTCTCGAGCTTTCCACGTTTCCGAAACCCGGTGGGATTAGAGCAGGAACCTTTCCACTACCGGTCTCGACATCCGTCCATCTGCCTCTTGCCTTAAGCTGCGGGTGATCCCATACGCCTTGCATGTCATTCACATTGGCGTTGGCTATCGACGCCTTATCTAGTTTCCGCAAGACCTCCTCTGCTGAGAATTTGGCGAAAGCGTCGCAGATTATCTTTCTCAACTCATCACGGTTCTTCGTTCTGAGGGTGTTGTTCACAAACTTTGGGTCCTTGGCAAGAGCCTCATTGCCAAGAACGTCTCGGCAAAGGTTAGCCCACTCTCGCTCGTTCTGCACGCCAAGCATGACCGAGCCTCCGCCACCCGTCTCAAATGGGCCGTATGGGTATATCGAGGCGTGAGAGGCGCCGGAGCGGGACAGGCCCGGGGCCCCATTATACGTGTAGTAGAGTGGGAAGTTCATCCACTCAACCATGCTCTCAAGCATTGAGATGTCTATCCGTGACCCCTTGCCCGTTTTGCTGCGCTTCAGAATTGCGGCCATGATGTTGGAATAGGCGTACATGCCGGCTGAGATATCGGCGATGGATATGCCCGCCTTCGCTGGGTCCGGACCGTTACCAGTAACAGAGAGGAAGCCCGCTTCACTCTGTACGAGAAGATCATATGCCTTCTTGTCCCTGTAAGGGCCGTCTGACCCGTAGCCAGAGATATCACACACAATCAGTGATGGATGCGACTCCTTGAGTGTTGAGTAGCCCAAGCCAAGTCGCTCCGTGGCGCCCGGTGCCAGGTTCTGCACCAGCACATCCGACTTGGCAAGAAGCTTCTTGAGGACCTCAAAGTGTTTCGGGTCTTTGAGATCGAGTGCTAGACTTTCTTTTGAACGGTTGGTCCAGACGAAATGTGACGCCATGCCATTTACTCGGGTATCGTATGCCCTTGCAAAGTCACCGACGCCTGGACGCTCGATCTTGATGACACGAGCGCCCATGTCGGCGAGCTGACGGGTGCAGAAGGGTGCAGCGATTGCGTGTTCGAGACTGACGACGGTGATGCCTTCAAGAGGTAGTGGCTCTCTCTCAGGTTTTGATGTTGTGGTTTCCATGGTTCTCAAGGTGATATTTTGCTGGAATGAAGATCGTAGGAAAGCTTTCGCTGGTCGCATCGCGGGCTTGATACCCCATGCGCCCCTGTGCGGACATGGAGATGCCCTGGTAGCCAAGAGCGACAGAGCGGCACGTCCTGACGGCATCTTGTTTTGGAGACAGGGGTGTTCAGAGGTAATGGTAAAAGCAAATCAGTCTTTAGCGAAGGAGGATGATGATGCTATATGAGGGTTGATTGGCTTGGGAATTTGAATGCCGAAGCAATACGTGTATTAGGGGTTGGCATGACTTTTCTAAGTCCTCCTCATCATGAAGCTGCCTCCAGCGACCAGACCCCATCAGCTGCTGTGCTGGCCGAGGTCAACCAACAGCAACAAGTGACGGCGTCAGTGCATGCACATGGAATCGGCTACTTCTTTGTCCATTCGGCTTTATGCAGAACAGCGTAATCACCGGCCGCTGATCACCCACTCAGTGGCGTCACTCCGGTCGCTAATTGCCCGGGAATAATGCATGCTGTCGGGGCCATTTGCCGAGTCTGAAGTTGCCCTGAAATGCCTTTCAGAGAAGTGAGTCGGCCTTTGGAGTCAATGGATGTTGTTATTTAGAGTCAGAGGATTCGTTCTGCTCTCAATCCAGCGAATCAACTTATCCAGGTCCATCATTTCCTGTATTGTTCATCATGTCACAATATCTGGCCCGGAGTCTTTGGCGTGTTGCTCGACCGGCGGTCAGGACGGCAGGATGCCTGCGTCCAGCGGCCTTCTCAACGTCAGCTCTCCGGAGGATAATGGAGACAACGGGCTTCACAGAAAACCAACTTACAGTCCGTGAAGCCGTCAATCAAATCTGCTCCGAGTTTCCCAACACATACTGGCAAGAACGCGACCAAACAGAGAAGGATCCCAAAGAGTTCCACGCTGCCCTCGCAAAAGATGGCTGGCTCGGTATTGCCCTGCCAGAATCGCTGGGTGGCTCCGGCCTTGGAATTTCGGAGGCAACGATGATGATGCAGACCATCACCGAGTCCGGCGCAGGCATGGCCGGCGCCCAGTCCATCCACGCCAACGTCTACGCGACGCAGCCGCTTGCCAAGTTTGGGACTCAGGAACAACTCGAGAGCACAATTCCCAACATCATCTCCGGCAAATGGAGGGCTTGTTTTGGGGTCACGGAGCCCAACGCTGGTCTCGACACCCTGCGCCTCTCCACCGCAGCGAAGAAGCAATCAGACGGCTCGTACCTAGTCACCGGCCAGAAGATCTGGATCACCTGCGCGCAAGTCGCATCCAAAATGATTCTGCTCGCGCGCACAAAGGCCTTCGAGGACTGTAAGAAGCCGAGCGAAGGTCTCTCACTCTTCTGCATCGACCTGGACCGCTCTCAGCCTGGGCTGGACATGCGCAAGATCAAGAAGATGGGCGGCCGTGCCGTCGACGCCAACGAGGTCTTCTTCGACAACTACGCCATCCCCGCTTCCAGCCTGATTGGCCAGGAGGGTCAGGGATTCAAGATTATCCTCCACGGCATGAACGCTGAGCGCTGTCTGCTTGCCGGTGAAGCGTTGGGACTAGGCTACGCCGCGATAACCAAGGCCGCGGAGTATGCCCGGGACAGAGTGGTCTTCAAGAGGCCGATCGGACAGAACCAGGCCATCGCGCATCCGCTCGCCGATGCGTACATGCGGTTGGAGGCTGCGAAGCTAGCCACTTACCACGCAGCAAGACTGTATGACGCCAGCAAGGAGGACGCGTCCATTCGTCAGGATGCAGTTGGAGTGGCTTGCAACAGCGCCAAATACATGGCTGCAGAAGCTGCCTTCACAGCTTGCGAGAGAGCTGTTCTTACACACGGAGGTATGGGCTACGCAGCCGAGTACGATGTGGAGAGGTATTTCAGAGAGTGCCTGGTTCCTCGTATTGCACCTGTGAGTCGAGAGATGATTCTGAACTATATTGGAGAGAAGGTCCTTCAGTTGCCTCGTAGTTACTAGGAACGGCGAAGATTAAAGAAGACATAATGATACGTTTTATACAATGACATGAAGGCAGATCCACCTTGAAACCTTCCTGTTCGACTCTGCGAAATCTATTTATGTATCATAAAGCCATGATAGACCTCCAGCAGGAGGTCAGGGAAACTCATCCCAAATCTTTGAGATGTTCCTAAAGCATGCATATAATCCCATTGATGAACGATTAACTGTAGCTATTCATTTCCATCTAAGTTCAGAGTCCAGCAGGGACTCGTGACTATTTAATGAGTACTATGGGACCAGAGAACACATACTAGCGTACAATAGGCGGTGTCTTGGGTTGAAGACTGAAAGTTAAATATTATCCATGTTAATTAATTGATTCCTCGTAGAGACCAAGTTTTGGTCGAGACAAGTAATTCTCGGCGAGGCAATGTGCGAACCTCCGGTTTCCACTCAAATAAGGGTGCTGAGGTAGGAAAGTGCCGGCGAGTCATTCTACGAATGTCCGTATTGTAGAGACATCGACCATGCCGACAACCCGTGAAGTGATTTTGCGAGTCAGGAAAAAATCAGCTGGTTCTTTCTTCTGTGTAGTTCCAAGATTACAATATAAAAAAAGCAGATATAAGAGAGCCCACCTCTGTGTCACAATCAGAGGCAAGCTACAACCAACAGACGACACCAAGTCTCTTTTTACGATGTTGCCAACAACGATTTTGGCAGTTGCGCTCTTCGGAGCAAGGTATATTAATCACTAAAATGCCCTAAACCACTTGCATCGAACGAGGCTAACCTTCAGTCCCGCCGCAGCTCACTTGCAGGGCCCATTTTCTGTACCGATGCTGAGCATCCTATGGATTCCACCGTACACAAATCTGTCACCCAAAGCTGCTGCGGTAGCAATACCTTTTCAACCTCCAACGTAAGACTCTAATCGGCAAGACCTATGTTAGATGATGACTGACCATACATCTCGCGCGAACAGTTCCTCTGCGACACGGGCAGTAAACCCACGACTTCGTTCTGCAGCTGTTGTCGGGGCAGCAACCTCGCTTGTATGAATGTGGGCGGATAAGTAGATAATCGAATGCTTTTGGACGGGTCTTTCTCATCACCAGCCGCATTCGAGCTTTGTTGTCTTACATAGCCATTTTGTTGCAATACAGTGGATTATTTGGGGACACGAGATTATTCAACATCGAAGTTGACGTCATTTGCGCGCTGCCTCAGAGAACAGCAGTGCGTCCATGTGATTTCAATGGTTCCAGTACTGTTTGTTGGTTCTGAGGGTGTTCTTCGCACTGAACTGTACCAAACTACCGACCCTGGCATGTATTCTTTAAACCTCATCCAGCCAACTATTGCCCACGCTACTCCTGGGGCTGACTCTTTGGCACCAGCTTCCGAAGTTCCTCTTATTGAGCTTCGCCCCCACGTCCGCGACATTTCACGGGGCTAAAATTACCTCCAGTCGGTGGATTTGACATGGTCATCATTCTAGTTAGACAAGGAGATGGTAAAGTCATATTAGATGATGCATCATGTCCAATCTTGGAGTAGCTGCTAGTAGAGAACCACCGGATTCCACCACGGATGTGATAGCCGAGAATGAGGCCCATGTGGGTACAGTGCGCAGCTCAACACTGTGGAGTTCGAACTGTGGCGCTGAGCGATGAATTTTGGTCCCGTCTTTGACGAATAAACAATCCGATGATACCCATTCCATCATTCTAAGACGCGATCACGGGTGGTCATAGTCAGTTTACAATGCCCACAGAAGGCCTCAAGAAGCCCCGCGCAAAGCACGCGTGCAAAGAGTGCAACTCACGACGAATCCGCTGCAACGTCACAGAGCGTCTTCCCTGTTCAAACTGTGAGAGCTCGAACGCGACATGCGAAGTTCTTCCCTCGAGAAGAGGCAGGCGAGTCAACTGCGCAATCACTGTTCCTCTCGATCAGAATGATAACAAGGCAGCAGATACCCACGGAAGTCAAAGAAGGAGAAGCGATCAGAAGATGCAGCGTCTTTCACCCCGGAACCTGTCGTGCCGGCTCCGCCCTCCGCGCTCACGTCTGCTGTGGCGGCAACCCTTGCCTCTATGAGCACTGCTTCACCGTCTCGCGGTCTTTCTAACTCGGGCGCATCACAAACACCATTTCATGCTGAGACGCCCGCGTCGTCACATTCTGCAACTGGCACGGGAAGTAGCCGCTTCTTCGGAGAGTCTAACTTCCTCACCCTTGTGCCGGGTGCCTCTGAGCCGGGGTCCGACGCGACTGCTGGAGACGCTGTATTAAAGGGTCGTTTGGCCTTTCCAGTTCCCCAGACACCTCAGTCGCAAGATTTGGGGACTTCGCCTGCTAGTATTAACAACATCAGCTCGGCTACGGAGCGATACCTGAGGGATGAAGGGGCCTTGACCTTTCCCGACATGCAGAGCTGTCTGCCTGCCCTTCGCGCATACTTCAAATGGTTTCACCCATGCTTCCCAATACTAGATCGCGCAGACGTGGCGCGAAGGCTTGCGACGATGGATATCTCGCCTCTGTTGTTGCAGGCGATGCTCTTCATCGGGTCGACATACTGCGATGAGGCTACCATTACAGCTATGGGCTTCAAAGACCGCTCAGAAGCGAAGAGTGTGACATATTCACGCGCAAGAATTCTTTTCCACTCCAATTGGGAAAAGGACGAGTTCACACTCATTCAATCTCTGTTCCTGTGCAGCTTTTGGAGGGGCGGCCCTACCGACTGGAGGGATGTCAGATACTGGCTGGGATGTGTCTTGACTCTTGCGCAGACGCATGGCCTCCATAGATCGTAAGTCAACGGATGTGAGTTCAATACTGGGTCGAGCTGACGACCGTAAAGAACACGCTTCATTACGAGAGAACCCCAGTTTGCCCGAATGAGAAGAAGAGTCTGGTGGTCCATTTACGTAAGCTGTTCCTCAACGCTGTTGATATTTCACTAACTCCTTGAAGGTAAGAGAAAGGCAAGCGGCGATATCTCTGGGACTTCCATGTAGAATACGAGACGAAGACTGCGACATCGAGCCCCTGACCGCCTCTGATTTGGAGGGCGACACGGATGAGCAACCAGCTACAGCGTTTGGCACATCCGAGTCTGAGCATGTGCATTACGCTATCAATATGGTAGACATAGCAAGGCTACGTAAGCTGAGCAGAGTTGCTTGACCCCCGATGCCATTCAACTGACAGGTGTATAGTCGGAAGGGTAACAGATACCCACTTTGCGCCGGGCCGTGGTCCTCCTGCACCAAGTGAAGTGCGCGACCTGAAGCAACAGCTCGAGCAGTGGAAGCAGAATTTGCCAGAAGAATTGAGGAGAGAACCCGAGGAGGGGCAATCGTCAGTCCTGACATGCCTCATTCATCTTGCCTACAAGTATGGCCGGAACACTGATGATGAATCGTCCCTGTAATTCTAATGAGCTTCACAGTCACTTGCGCATCCTCGTCCATCGCAATGGATGGCTTCGAAACCGAGACGAAGAGGACAAAAAGGCCGCCCTCGCAGCTGCCTGTCGAATTAGCAGGATAGCGGAAGACATGCTCGCACAGAAAACCTTACAGTACGGCCAAATGCATCTGTGAGCGCTATTTCTTCTTAATTCTAGACGCTTTCACTAACATCTCAAGACTTACAAGCCTATTCGCGGCTCTCTGCATTCACGCTATCGACATCAAGTCGGCCGATGGGATCGGTCGCCAGCTCGCAGTTCACAGAGCCCAGATGTGCCATTTAGGGCTGAAAGAGATCCAAAACTACTGGCGAATCAACAACAATGTCTTGGATCTCTTTCTGCAGTATCTCGACAAGCCAATTGCCAAGAGAATCTACAACGAAGACGCCGACGCTGCGACAGCTGATGGATCCACGGCAGGCCTGAGCCCGTTCAACACAGCCAGCACACCCCGGAATCTTTCCACAGACACCGTGGAGCAGAGCAGATCCGACGCCATAGAGGACCAATACTTTAACCTGATGCAGACCAATTGGGAAGGCGAGCATGCTCTTGGTGATCTCGGCCTCTTCCTGGACCCGCAACTCTATGCCAATGGTCCAATGCAAGTCGAGGGCCTCAACTTCTTGCAGCGGTGCCTATAATGACGCCCCGGAATTCGCCTAGCGGAGTTTAAAGTCAAAAGAACGAAAGAAACTCCCCTCTAAGCATTCATTTTCCCCCCTGTGGCTGCCCTGGTCAGAAGCGCGTAAACCCTGATTGCATCATAGCAACATTCGGCTTCTTGAGCCGAGGGTCGCGACTCGGCTACTTCAGCCACCTGCAGGAAGAAGAAGCCGAGAGTATATAACCGAAGAGCCCGCTTACCCCACAGACCCCGCGATCAACACACTGTGCTCAGTCCATTCCCCAATAGGGATGGTTCCTCGGCGCGCGCTCTCCCCACGCCGGTGTTTACTCGCCGAGATGAAAGCTTGACGTCGGATGACGGACATTAGTCGGCTTTGATATCTTTCGAGGTTATTGCATGTGTTCCCGCCTTCCCAACGATCCAATTGTTGTTGTTCTTTCAATCTTGCACTTGGACTTCAACACCAATCGCGCCTGCAACCGCCAACATGGCCCCCCTTGCTCATCAGATACGACCGGTGATCTCACGCTGTACACCACGCGGCAGGAGGTCCATCACCACCAACGCAACCGACGCAGCATCAAAACTCCTCGAGACCTTTGCCGGGAAAGATGTCACGCGCAAACAACTCTTCGATTCCAATCAGTTGCAGCGCCTCAGCTTGACACTCAATCGCAAAGAGCTGCATCCAGGAATCGACGTCTCCGCTGAACCGCCCAAAGAAGGCACGCCACTCCCACCCGGGTATCACCTTGTTTATTTCACACCAACAGGTGTTGAAAGCGAATTGGGCATGGACGGAACGGACAAGACGTTCAATGCGCCAGCACCGTTCACGCGGCGGATGTGGGCTGGCGGGAAGATGCAGTTCATTGAGGGGACCTCGCTGAAAGTTGGCGAAGAGGTTGAAGAGCGCACGAGGCTTGTTGGCGCAACGCCGAAGAAGAGCCGCAGCGGTGACGAGATGGTTCTCGTGGACGTTGAAAAGGAGTTTTGGGGACGGGACGGGCTGGTTGTTAAGGACCAGAGGTACGTTGTCCTCGCCACCAACATTATCCTGCTTCAGATGACTTACAGGTTCCTAGGTCATGGATCTTCCGCCCAGAAGTCAACGTTTCTTTGGCTGCAAAGACTGCTCCTCCGCGATCTAACCGGCAACCGTCTTTTGGGCCGTCAACCATCACGGATGAGAAGGGTTCAGACGGCGGTGTCCTTCGGCGTCTTCGATGGTCACCCGTTGGCCTCTTCCGGTTCTCGGCTCTTACATTTAATGGCCATATGATCCACTACAACGAGCCTTGGACGAAGGATATTGAGAGGCATCCCGAAGTTGTGGTCCATGGACCCTTGAACCTGATCAACATGCTTGACTACTGGAGGGATGTCTACGGGCAAGATGGCAGGGAAGTGCGACAAGTTGGATATAGAGCAATGTCACCACTCTATGCCGGCGATGAGTACACAATCCGTACGGCGTCTGTGAAAGATGATGAGACGTACGAGGTTCTAGTAGAGAAGGGCAGCACGTTGTGCATGAAGGGTGAAATTATGGGCAGCTGAGTAAGAGATTAAGAGATTTAACCTCATATAAGCACGATTTCAGAGCTTCGATCATATGCAATACTTAAATTCAATGGTAATGCAGCCTTTCCAGTTGATGGCTTGTATCTCATCCACTCCTGACGCCAAGCTTCATTACTCGAGCCATGAAGATGTATCCAGACACCAAGAAAGTGCCAACGATCCACAGAATTGTACCGAGGATGCCGTCCAGGTTGATAGTCTGTTATATAAACCGCTTAGATATGCAGAAAGGTGTAAGATGTGACGGGAGATAACTCACGGGAACGCTCGTGCCTCCACTCTTGCTGACCCAAGGGAAGGCTCTGTCGATCATTGCACTTTCATATCGATTACATGCCGTGCTGACATCTTCCGAGGATGGCCTCTCTCCAGAATCAGCTTTCACCTTCAGCTGGAGAATTTGAGGAAGTGCATCAGCGCAGTCATGGAATGCCTGATTGCCTCCCATGCCCCTAAATGTTGTCAGCAATCGGTCTTGTGACGTGATTTACTGGTCCAGAGACCATCAACTTACCGGTTTGGCTGCATCGCATGAACTGCGTCTCCGATGAGCCATATACGAGGATGACCCTCGTTTCCCGTTGTTTTCTTCACATTCTTGCGCCAGAATTTTGGTAGTTTGTTGCTTGCGCGTAATCTTGTAGCCGTAACTAAGTCCTTGTTCTTGTCTTCCGACCCAGTCGTCAACATTGTGCGGCTATGATTGTTAGAATATGGATATATATCTAGTTTGTCAAGGATTTTGCACATACTACTCGGGTGCCCAGTCTTTAGTAGCCTCAAGACAAATCTGGAGTGGGTCCTGTACCTCCGATAGCTCCTGTTGCTTCGGCACTCGATCTTTCGGAATCAGAAGCCCCCAGTAAAAGGAAGCTTCTTTCACGTTGTATTTTGGCCCGCTCTCTGAATCATCTTCTGGCTGTTCAGCCTTTGGCAAGAACACTAAACACGGATCAGCCATGCACGCAGCAGGACACAGTGTGGTCTTGAGGCTCACGTGCGTAGTACATAGAAATGCCGCCTGCCCATACCATGACTGGACTTTTTAGCAACCGTGGTGGCAGCTTCTCAGTCCAATCCTGTGGTAACGGTCCTTTGCTGAGAATCATCACATGACTGTCGACCGGGACCAGATTGCGAGCTCCGACCTGCTTGTTAATCTGTGGCCATTTAGGTTAGTACTTCCGTAGAATAAAACTTGGACTCGTCGAAATCGTACTCTCGAGTTGCTGCCGTCTGCCCCGATCAACAAATCACACGTATCCGTGGATCCATCCGCGAAGTGAACTCGGACGGTTTCTTGTCCGGTTCCATCTTGAACAATTTCGTATCCCTCAAAGGCTTTCCCGAAGTGAACGCACCCCTTAGCTTTCAGTGGGTTGACCAGAATATCGCGGAGGACCACACGATTAATGCCCCATGACGCCGCGTACGAAGGTAGCTGCCCGAGATCAAGCACGGTCTGGAATTTCGTGTTACATATCGCTGGTGCGGTGAGTCCTGTCGATGACATTTGGCTGAACTTCGACTGAATTGTTGCAATTTCGGATGCCTTCAGACACGCCCGGAACCCTGCCAGCGCACTCTCGCCGAGCCGAATTTGGAATCCTTCTCGTTTTGTGTCTTCCGCGTCCCGCTCGTAGACCGACACATCGACACCATTGTTGACCAGTCCATTGGCGAGGAGACAGCCGGCAAGTCCTCCACCAGCGATGATGACTTTGAACGGTACAGCCATCTTGTCGATTTCTTGACTTTTCTGAAAGTTTTGATGGTCAGGAGTTGTCTAGTTTATCACCATATATATAAGACATGATCCACGACTTCGTTCATGAGCATTTGCGACCACCGGCGAACTCGGACAACAGCATATTCCGCGTTACACATTATTTCGGCATTCATAGTCGGCATCAACATCTTCTTGCCTTAAAAGATCTAACGAGGCAACTGGTGGTCAAAGTGTCATACCTCGCTGCGAACCCCGCGAAGATCCCCCACCTCCGCCGCGGGATGTTACCCCACACATGTAGCTCAGTGACAGGGTTGAAGCTTCACCTTTGGCTCAAGCTCTCACGTCCATCTTCTACCCCAACACGCTTTGACGCCTCGGAGGTCGGTAAGTGGACGACTCCGGCTACCTGCCCACAGCGTTCGGAGCACGTTACGATGTCGTGGTGGTATGTTACTAGCAGCAGATACAAGCCATGAAGTCAACCAATTCTTTCATACGAAATGCACTAAGCGAAGTCCAGGGAAGTATCCCAAGCACTTCGGACTCTGCATCGCCAGACCGGAAGTGTAAGATTCAGTCAAAACAACTTTACCAGCGTGGCAGGGGCCAAATCCTCCACATTAGTTGAGGTCTTGGCGTGAACCATCGCGGTCGCTGCGGCGGTGTTTACTCGAAATGGCTTAATCGCACTAGAAAGTATCAGACTGACAGTGACATTCGAGTTGCAATGGATATGAACCCACCCTTCATCGTGTAGACACCAGTAGACTTTCTTTGGTTGCGAAAGCCAGCGAATTTCGTCCACAGCAAATGAAGCAGCAGAACCGTTGTAGGGCCGCCCATTTAGGTTTGCTCTCCCTGCAATAGCGAGGATCGCGACGTCTGGAGCCGGTTCAATGGCTTTCAGGATCCCTTCATAGCCTCCCAAATGTCCGTTCCAGAACAAAGTTTTCCCAGGGCCAATAAGGAAGTTGTACGCCAGTTGGCCTCCATCATAATTCGAGAAGACGTGGCGATCTCGATCTTCCATGTAATCTGCCATTGATCGGGTGCCCTCATCCATTTGGTCGGGTGGTATTATTTCCTTGAGCCTCATCAGGGCGTATTTCATGCCCATGGTCACGTCAAGGGTGCAGACGTATGGTGTTGCCTCGCCTGTGTACTCTGTTCCGGTGTCGATTTCGTCCGGGATGTCATGGTGTCCACTTCCCGGCATGAGAGCATGCAAAGAGGGCCACACGTGAACGGACATGACTGCCCTCGAATGGTGCGGTCTTGCGGGTGCTCCCGGTGGGCCATTGGCGAGAGGAATTTTACCCGCCACGGCGGCGTCGCGATCGGCTTTGGTGAACATTGGAATTCGCTCACCGCCTGCGACAGGTAAGAGCTGAGACTCGTAGACGCCAGCCGAGCGCAGCAGGTTGATGGCTTCACCGTTGGCAACAACGATGGCCCCCGTCTTCTTTGCAATTCTGTCGGCTCCTGGTAGACTAAATTTGGTCAGAGAATTGGCTATGATGAGAAGGAATGAAGACGTCACTTACTGGTCAAAGTGAGCATGCGAGATGAATATGTAGTCCGCCTCAGTAACATCGTCAATGTCCAAGTACTTAGGGAGAACGGAGGGCTTCTCCAGCCACGTATCAAGAAATATCACAAGGCCGTTGGATTTCAAACGGAACGTCGTGGCCCCTGAATTCCCATTAGCAAGTTGATAATGGGATATGACTGATGTAGAATGACAGACCGAACCACTCTATGGTTTCTGCCATCGTAGCAGACGCTTTATGTGCGGTGTGGCGGTGCGGATGCTGAGATGATATTCACCGAGAAACCAATAACAACATCGGCGTTCTACCCAGGTGTCAAATTATGTTGAAAAAGTCCACTATACTTATTCTTTATCATGGCTAGCGGAGTATATAAACGCATACTCTGTTCTTTCTTCCCTTCTAACTTTTCTTCTTCGTAGTTTGCCGCCTAGAGGCGCACCTTATTAACTACTATATAACTCTAACGGGGAAATATATAGAGGGTTATAGTATAACCTCTATAGCTAACCCATAGGGTATATAAAGGGGATTTTTAAGCTACCTAGTTAAGTAGAAGTAACCCCCTATTATACTATAGCCTAAATTTAAAACCCTCTAAGATAAATCTTATATATACCCCCTATTTAATTAATATAGTTTTTATTACTAGTAATATTAAATATCTAAAAAAGACTAGTTTACTATATATTTAATAATAGTTTAGTTATATCCTTATAACTAAGAATAATAATATAATATCTCTATACCTCCTTATAATATATATTAAGTTCTTAAAAAACCTTTAGAACTAAGTTCTCTATTAAGTTAAGTAGAGATTTAAAAAGATTACTAAGAACTTAAAAAATAAAAATAATATAAGGGAGATTAATAAGATATTTAATAAGAAATATAGTAAATAGTTCTAAGAATTAATTACTATTATTACCCTTATCTAAGTTATAATATAGTAGTTAAAGAGACTAGCCTAGGTTAGGGTAGAGGAAAAAAAGGGTCCTTATGTTCCCTTTAGTCATACAAGTATTCACAAAAGAATTATTCACAAAATAACGCACACTCTGTTATCCGCTATCGGCATCGGCATCGGAGGGATTAAGATGTGCCGGCCACTCACAAAGATCGGCACTTGAGTCCGCCCGAGGCCCGTGGTGTTAGTGCCACACCAGAAACGTTTCTCTTGCAAGGTGAACCCAATGGGACGGATTGATTCTAATTAGGGTTTTAGACTTAAAATAGGTGACACCTGGTCTCTTGGTAGCCTCCTTCAATTTTCCCGCTCGCATGGCATAAAACAGCGGACAGATAACAGTACCGAGGGGCGACAGATGCGGAACGGTCGTTGTCGGTTGTATTCAACAATTAGCTTAAAGCCGGAGAGCGTTCTAATCTTAAACATATTCAAGTTCCATGTGATTGTCAATGACCTGTCGAATTTTGATTGTTATCATGCGAAAACTGTTGAACATACATGTCTCATCATGATGGCATCACAAGCCAGGGAATCTAGTTGACAAGTTCCGGAATAGGTAATGCTTAAAATGACTCGAAGAAAGATCTGGAATCCCGTTTGAGACGTTGAGCCCATTGCAGACGTGCTATCTGGTATGTCAAGTGGCTGTTTAAGTTGGTACGAAGATCGTGGAGTTGTAGCCAATCTGCTGGGCGACAGGCTGATATCGCCATCTGCTCACGTAACCTTCGAATGGATAGCTGCCGCCGTTCGTAGTTGCGTAAATTCCCAGTACGCCTCCGGTTCCCGCACCATCACCAGACAATAGGGCCGTGCTATATAACCCAATCGCCTCCTCTTTACCGTTTTGACCGACCGAGGAGGCGAAGAACTCATAATGACTCTCATTCCTCGGGGAAATCCGCAGTCGGATTGCGTCTCCAAGCCAACCTTCAGGAACAGGTATTGTTGTCGGTTCGGGTGCTATAAAAGCGTTCACCGAACGGGCTCGCACTCGCAAGTACGGCTTGAGCTTTCCCGCATACTCAGAGACGTCCTTCAAGTACACGATGCCGAGGTCGGCGTGCTGATCAGGGGTGCCGAAATTAGAGATGCCCATCTCGTCACCGGAGGACTTTCCGAAGCCGAGCTGAATATCAACGCTAAAGTTGAAGTATGTGTGCTCTTGTCTGCGGAAGAGTGCAGTCACGCCCTCAATGCTGGTGTTGAAGTTAAGATCGGTAGTGAGGTTGGCGCGTGACGCAGTAAGGCGCAGTGTGTTTTCGTGGCCCCCTGGAGAGATTGAAAAGGAGGCTGCGTCGAATGGTGCTCTCCAAGACACCCAATTCGAAGGGAATTTAGACCCTGGCTCAAAATCTACCACGTCCGGCTCGCCTACCAAAGGTCCGATGCCCTGGCTTATCAATGATTGACTCGGCAAAGGAGCGCTCATCCGACCCTGAACTTGGTCCGCAAGCGGCCAACCTCCAGAGGGCCAGGAGACTGGAAAGAGAACTGTCTCTCTTCCCATGGGATAGATCAACTCCTTGTACAGCCTCGGACCTCCACGTGTTGATAATGCAACACCCCACCAATTGCCCTGTGCATCCTGGAAAAGATCCGCATGTCCAACGGTCTGGAAGTAATTGTCGGTGCCTTTGTTCGAGACCAATGGATTATGAGGTGCTGCTTCCCAGGGCCCTTTGAGACTCTTTGATCGGGCCACTGTTGCAGAATGGTTGAGCTGTGTCCCACCCTCCGCAATTAAGAGGTAGTAATATCCATCGCGTTTGTAAATGTGTGGCCCTTCCGCGCTCTGGCCGCCAGTACCAGCCCAAAGTTCCCATGGCTCGCTTGTGTTTCCAGTAGCCAGGTCAAGATACGCGGCGATAATGGGTTCTCCGGCCGACGCAACAACCACGGAGCCGTCGTCGTCGAAGAATATGTCAGGGTCGATTGTGTAACCAGGTGTTTGAGGCCATATGACGTTAGACCAGGCAAAGTCGTCGTACGGATCCGTGGTGGTGAACATGACGAATCTGGGCCCTCCTAGCTCTGCGCTGGCCCAGGTTGAGATCAAGTAGAAGGTGCCGTTGCGGTAACGCAGCGTGTTGGCGAACATTCCTCCTCCATTACCTTGAGTTCCGCTTCGGATTACTGGGAATTGAGTCACTCGGTTGATGGCGTTGCTGGCGAGCCTCCAGTTGACGAAGTCTTTGCTGGCATAAACTGGATTTGCAGGTAAGGCCATGAATGTCGATGTTGTGCAGAAGACCGTGTCATTCCATTCAGGCACGAATGTGCAGCTGGGGTCCGAGTGCCATCCCGGAAGGATGGGATTGGTATATGAGGTGTTTCCCTGGAGGCCAATGACATGGAGTGGCAGCATTGCCAAGGAAACCCAGACTGGAAGACGCATCTTACGTATGGCTGAAAGGTAGGCCAACGCGCATCTGCTACGATAGAACTTTTCAGCTAAGACTGCGCGGCTAGCTGAGAAAATGGATGAAAAGAAAGAATGAAGCAAAGTGAACGGCCATCTTCAGTGGTAATTTACATTGGTGGTGTCGCCCCCTCCGGCTCCCCGCTCCAAGTGGATTGAGTGGCTGCAGCCGACCCGAGAGCGTGGACCCGAACCGAGCCGGAGTTGCAATAATGACGAGCCAACGACATCTCGTCTCTCTTGATTGTAAACTGTCTAAGCAAGCTGAAGTTTGACGGTGGCGAGTTCTACTAGCTCCTACTTGCGCGTTCATAAGTTGAGTGTCGCTGGCAACCGGGCGCCCGTGGAGCCCCGCTCTAAGTGATGACTCTTTACCGTGGTCCGGGAGACAGAGGGGTGTGCAATTGGTCGACGGAAGTGCAAAAGCATTGAACATAGAAGACCATCAAATTCATTTGATTCATTTAACAAGCCCAAGTACCTTTAGTGTTTGTGATGATTGGTAAGTTCTGAGCGCCTGTAACGCTTGGGACTGGGCATGTAAATGGGGTTCCGTCGATGAGGGGTTACAGAAGTTACAGGTGCCGGTTGAGCTGCATAGCGGTGCAACTATGATATATTTTCAAGCACCTTGGTATGTTGCTAAATTCTAATACATGGTTAAAAGTTTACAAACCCATGTGATCTTATACGTTCATTCTCAGTGACGGTTATCCTGCATGCGCCGGAGATGGCTGGGTATTGTAGTTCGTAACCAACCTGTCCGACGTCGTCCTAGCCGATGATATAGCTCCAGGGCTTCACTCGGCATGTCACTCAGCGGTCGCAACACACGCACTACACGAAACAGTTAAGATACAAGCCGGCAAAAATGTTTGGGTGGCTTGATAGAGAATCATACTTGAACGGCGGTGTACCCATCACCCACGACTTGCGTACACTGAGGGTCTGGTTGTTCTTTCGTTGCACAAGGGAAGGCTCCAGGTTTCAATATGGCATCACAGACTAGCTGAGGCGACTAAGATAACCACAGCGCGATTAGCACACCCTTCAGAAGCCTGTTTGGAGACCAGACAGATACTTACGCAGCGTCTAGTACGAGTTCTGCATGCACCCATGGCGTTGCCAGTTAGGCTTAGCACAAGCAGAGCAGGAAATATAGAAATTCTCATCGTGAGGGACAATATTCGTCGTGAGTGTATACAAGCAGTGGAGTCGCACACACAGTGACCGCATCGTTCTACAAATGCACGTCTTGGATGTATTTATACTGCGGATGCAGTTTTCATTCATACGCCATTAGTCAGGGAACCGTGGAAGCGATTGTCAGCAAGTTGCTGCTTGGTCGCGACTGGATTAGTTCATCCTATCAATTCCGCCTCGACTCATCACACGTCAAACGTGGAAATATCGGGGAAGCGGACTCTCCCAGCAGTATCACAAACCCCATAATGCCAATGTAATCTCTCGGACATTCTTTTCGAATCAAAGGCTTCTCCTATTTAATGAAGACTGACTCGTCGAGCGATCCTGATCGGGCAACTTCATACCGACTTGGGTAAATATCTGCCGAAATCGGCAAATAGCTACCGAACCATATCTTTTAGTTACACGGAGGAACCTCAACAATCTTTCAGAATCCCAGTCTTGCCACCGTTATTGGCACAGCCTTCATCAAAACTCTGTTTGGTGATCGAGTTTGAAATACAGCACTGCATCGCATTAGCGTTGTCTGTTTGCATTTGTGGGTGAGCGGCGGGCAAGGACGTACCACCCCGGGTGAGCCGGGCAGAGGTGTTCCATAAGCTTGCCAGCACATGTTGTCTGAAGGATTCTGTGCGCCATTAGACATCACACAGATGTAGCCCTTGTAAACACCGCCGAGTGCAATGCTGCCGTAGTTGAGCCAGTCAGCAAGTCTATCGGCCAAACTCAGCCAGTGTTTGGATTGAACCCACGCAGCGTTCGCCAGAGCAACCGCGATTAACTTTGCTTTCATCGTAATAACGAGGTTACCGCACGAGAACTGACAGTGTGTAGCCGTTGATGCAGACGTTACCATCAGTGGTAAAACTAGAGCCGCACGTGATATTCAGCCGCGAAAGTAGGGTGCGTCTTGACTGTCATCTGCGATCGAAAAAAAGAAAAAAAAAACCAAAGACTGCGCTGACTTTGCACTCAATTTATACACGGCTTGTGTCTCAACCGGGGCGATCCTCGCCTCTGCGAGACTCGATACATGGAGCCATCATTGGGGCAAAGCACACATTTACCCAGAATTGGGTCAAGCACACCACCCGCTAACTAATAATAGACATTGGCCATAGTATCAGTAGGAATTTCTGTAACCTCCATTTTGAAAATTCAGCCAGATCCCGTTCCCTTTGCACCCAGGGGCGGCACTACATGGCAAGTAGTGACCAGCGCTATAGAGCTCTTTCGGCGGTCCATCACACATAATGAATCAGTCTCTAGTCTGTCAGATTTACCCCCGAGAAACTCAAGGTGATTGAAAATCGTGCTTTTTCCGAAACGGCTGAGCATAAGGGGTATAGATGTAGTGATTCGGAAGCAACTATCGTGTAGGTTTAGGCGGGGCCACGATAACATCTGTTTGCGTGATGATGTTACTCATACTCGACGCTCCAGGAACCTTCTCCCTCATTCATGAACAGATGAACTATCAGACGCTAGAACTACGGATCTGTCAAGTCGATGATAAAATGATTACATCAGAAATCTTTCCGACCAAGCCACACATTGTGACATCACACCGCACCTCCGGCATGGACACGTCCAAGTACTTAGCCAAATCCACGTAATAACTCATCTCCAATGCCAACACTGCAGAGAATTTACATCTAGCCGCCATTCAAGTCTGTCTAGAGAGACGTGCTCCAGTCAACCCCAAGAATGATTGAATTATTGGCAGATTCTAAACTTTAAAGGCCGTTGCCTGGTCCTCCTTGCTCACGTTTGCGACTATCCTGACGTAGGGTTCCACTCAACAGGTCAATTTGCCATCCGTATTACTCAAACACGTGTCTTGGCAGCTTGTTAGTGAATGGTCCCATCATACTTTGCTTTCATGGTCTTACCCAAGTTCAAAGATGAAGGCTTCTTTGTGCCAGAAGCGTCAGTGCAACGGCAATTCAGTGTCTTCTTATCAGCAGCAAGGCCACAGTCACAGAACTTGAAGGACGGACTTTCGATTTGTCAATTTTTACTGGAGCGGGGTACGGAAAGAGATTGAACTTACTTGCTAGGTCGGCACTGTAGGCATAGCGGCAAATCGGTTATCAGTCGCGAAATCATTTACTTGAATAGGAGAGATGGCCGGGAAAGGTATGATGCGGGAGACGCTTACGACAACTTGGCCTCCGACATTGGCGAGGCAGCTTCTCAAGTCTAGGCTTGAGTCATTCGAGTATTCATTGTCAGCTGTGAAGCAGAATGCCTTAATGCTGGTTGAGAAGTAGGCCATTCCGGAGCATGACCCTGAGAAGTCTTTTGCAGCAACTTGGGCTATGGGTACTGCTGTAAGCAGAGACAGGAGTGTGTTCATACGCATGATGATTGATGAATAATGAGTAGTGTGGCTGGAAAGAAGTCGACTTATCTGTGGAGAGAAATGATGGTGGTAAAGAAAAGGCCGTCTTATGTATTGACTTTGGCTTAAGGTTTTCGACAATCTACTTCTTTCCCCCTCTGGTTCGTGGCCAATTTCCAATTGACTGGCATGAGTCGCGGGAAACGGCCGTCATACAAATGTCCCGGTGCAGGGCGATTACCCGGGAAAAGTATCTCGAACTGCGTGCGGTTCTGTTATCACTTGGACGCAGGTCAAAAGACGGCACGTGGTTCATTATAATTCAAAGATTGAGGCATGCATGTAAAACGTGGCCACTATGTAAGAGCAGCAAAATGAGCCGCGAGGTTGATGTGGACTGCGCGTCCTGACTCGCGATTCCGAAGCCACGGTGACGCCAGGTATAACGAAGATGATGCTACTTTCAAGTAACACATCAGACAAGAAAGAGTCCAGAACCACGATGCGTGGGCTCATTATGGCGGTAGAGTACCAGGCATTAGCTGATTCCAAAGGCATCTTGATGGTATTCCACATCATGCAGCAAACTGAGCCTCTTGTTCTGCACATAAAGGCTGTTTTTGAGCCCTTCAAAAGCGATTCTGTTGTATTAAAGGAATGCTTGGTTGTCCCTGCCATCAACCCTCGCACCAGCAGTCGCAGTTGCCGTCTGAAGTCGCCATCGCTAGGAAGTTCCTTGTTTGACACTGAGATTGTCAGTTAGGTGGACGGCTGGGACAAAGTAAAAGTTAATTGGGCGTAGCTTACTGTGGAGCTGCAACGACCACTGCAAGCCGTCTTGTCGGCATCCCCGCAATTGCTTTGCCACTAAACAGTACCCACGTCAGTCCTGGTTCACTTGTTACTTGCTGCTGTACTTACAGAAGTTGGCGTTGATTTAAAGCAATAAACGTTTCTGACGGCCGCCATTGCCGTCGAAATGTAGATGGCAGCAATGCAAATAAGATGGGCGATCTTCATTGCCACTTGTAAATGTCTGCTTTGATTTGGACCAACATATCTAGGCTGTAGAGTGGAAGCTAGATAACTTTAAATAGTCAGTCTGAACCTTCCGACTTGGTTTGTGAGCCTCAGTGACTGACTCGTTAGGCAATACCTGCTTTCAACTGATTAATCTATTCCCAACGAAGGACAAGGGCTTCACTTCAATGTCCAAACTGTTTTGCTCATAATCGGAATTTTCCCAATTCCCCGCCCGCAATTAAGCTTGAGTGGAGAAGTCTCGGTGCCCGAACTGCCTGTTTCGTTCCCCTGGCGGTTAGGACCTAACGACTTATGCTGCGTTATTGGGCTTGGAACCTCATACACGGACCAAACAAAGCCATGGGCGGGAGGAAAAGGGGGATGATGACGGAGTGCCCTTCTATCGAATAGTGTCTGATACAACCAGGCAAAGCCTACATCACATATACGGAAAGTATGTCTAGCTGTAGGCTTCACCAATAAATCTGATAGACAAAATTGTGGTGTTGTCTAGACCGGCGGCCCCAGATAACCTACTGAGGTGCCCTGTCCGCACTCACGTTTCGGTTATGAACTGATCAAAGCCTAAAATGCCGCAATTAGCTTCCTAGCACTTAGGTACAGCAACAAGATCACTAGGTACCTAGTACCTTAGGGAATATGCAAGGGCAGCTGACATATAGGTGTAAGCAGCCATCTGGGAAGATAAGACTGGGAGGATGAGTAGACTTTAGTTTTGTAACAACTCGAGATGAGTACTTGCTCACGTAGGTACGTATATACTACTGCATAAAGGGACCCTCTGATAAAAGGTATAGGCAGTATGCAAGACTTTCTTCGGGCAATGGATGGACCCCCCTATGCGGTAGACTCTAGTAAGATTCGCAAAAAGCCTCCCCTGTAACCCCTCTCTTGGCATGATTATCCAACTAGGCGGACATAGAAATCAACAAAGCGGGATGAGGCAGGGACGGTGCCACGAGAGCAGAAGTCTGACTAATACAGGCCCCGTTGTAGCTTTGTGCGAATCTAACACGAGTGTACAGTACCGCTGTGTACTGCTGTGACAGGTTCCACTACTTTGTGGGCCGTGTAGGACCACGCATCCAGCTCCCCGCCTGTCATCCTCATCTCACGCAAACCCTACACTGTATCGCAACTCCGCCATAAAAAGAGTCCATCTAACATGGAGCAAACAGCACATCATTTATGCACGGTGTGCTCGCGCTTCGCAGAGCGATTGCAATTGAAGACCGCCGACGGTGGCATCATCATACCGTGAAGCATACCATTCGCCCCGGACCTCCAAGAGTTGAGACAAAGGGCCCTCGACGGATGCACACTGTGCCAGATTGTCTTCCAGACCATCTTGTACCACTGGGAGTCGGGCGATGGCAGCACATTTATGTCTTACCTCCACGGGGACCCCGTCGAACTCGCAACCGTCCAGCTGTCCGATTATCTGTCCGAGCCAGAAGATGAGGAGGATGGCGTCGGCATCCGGGCTTGGTTCCTTCAGTGTGGATTGCTGCTATGGTCTACTGACACGCCTGAAATCAAGCTCTCACCCAGTCGTCCGAGAATCCCCCGCCAGCTCTCCTCGATAGTACCCGGGGCTGAGCCCAGCTACTCAGATGAAGGAATAACTGCTGTGGCAGCCATGGTACAGGGTTGGCTAGCGGACTGTCGCGATGGACATGCCAAATGCGACTCCGCGGTGTCTGAGCAGGGGCAAGACCAGCCCGGCAGAAGTGCTGCACCTACTCGACTGGTTGATGTCGGAGAAGAGGGCGATGAGATGCCCCTCAGGGTACTCATCAATAACGAAGAGAATCCTGTCACCAAGTACACAACGCTCAGCTATGCCTGGGGAAATCGGGGGTCGGACATCAGGCTGACTGCATCCAACATCGCCCAAATGACCGAGTCCATTGACTGGACCCGTCTCCCAAAGACCATTCAGGAAGCCATTATCTTCACGCGAAAGTTGGGGGTGAGGTATATCTGGGTCGACGCCCTGTGCATCATGCAGTCAACCGAACCGGACGACTGCGCCGCCCAGGAAGACTGGCACCGAGAAGCAGAGCGGTTCGGTCGATATTACAGAAACTCTCTGCTAACTATCTCTGCGACGGGAGCGGCGGACTCAGTCGACGGTCTTTTCCTTCAACGCCCGGGGTTGGCCTTCCAACCGCAGCCGCTCCCGCTGCAACGGAGGACCGCTGAAGGGACATTAACACCCATGACCATATTTCCATCGATGCCGTCACGGTTGAGCGAAATCGCCAACTCCCCGCTTCAATTGCGGGGCTGGGCTGTCCAGGAACGTATCTTGTCGACAAGAGTCGTTCACTTTGCGACAAATTGTGTGCTATGGGAGTGCGACGGCCTTCGGGCCACGGAGGTTTACCCGGAAGGTCTCCATCCCGAAGAAGAATCGCATAGCTGGATGGGCAGCTGGATGATCGATGAATTTAGAAGGCTAGACAACCATAATCTCGTTTCCGTGTTGGAGGGCTGGTACGAATTCGTGTCGTACTACACGACGACGAACTTCACGTATATGTATCTATCGAAATACTGAGCTGTGAACCTTCTTCCGCGGTATCCTGTGTCGGTGTGCTAAGGTACGGGGAAGGGTTCCTTAATAATGACTAACAAAAGCTGTCGGCGGAGCCAAGGTATTAGGTAGACAAAAGCGCTTGGAAGACATACCCTGTCATTATCGGTTAAATCTATAAGATAGGAACAGCGATCGCAGCTGCAGGGCGACCACGGGCGCCATGAAGCTTAAAGAGGCAGCTAGAGCCACTCTAGAGAAATATGAAGAGATCATACTGAAGGGAAATCGGTGGGCTATCCAAAGCGATCAGCTAGCACAGCTTAGAAGACACCCAAAAACCCCAATGTCGGCACTTTTCTGCCCCATTTTGGACGGAGTGGCCGGGACCATGTCTTGGGCCGTTTCCATCACTTTGTTTTCCACGCAGGCTCACATCAGGGGGAGTGTTTGTTAAGTAGGGTGGAGGTGCTTTGATGTACTTGCTGGGTGCGGATAGTTGGTATCTCAACAGCCCTGGACCACATCATGCCTCCTCGCATCTTACACCGAAAAGTGCGTGCATCTGTTGCATTTGTCCGTTTGTGAGTGGTGCAGATAATTTGCGTAGATATAATCACCCGGAGTTATGAGGAGGAAGAATAGCAACTTTGTTGGTCAGCATTCATCCACGAAGAAGGAGCTCTGAAACGTGTATTGGTTTTTTTTTTTTCTTTCTCTTTTTTCCTTTCTCTTCTTTTCCTTTCGTTCTCTTTTTTTTTTTTTTTTTGGTGAATATTAGCGTTTGAGGAAAAAGGGGACTTCACCTTATCTTCTTGGTGATCTCAATGGTACACACCCCGATACTAGAGAACGCGTGGACTCTCAATCAAGGTATATTTCGAGAATGTCTTCATGCTTATCCTTGGCTCTATTCGAGAGGTACTCTCCCCACAACTCTGCGATCATCTTGCCTCGTGTTCCGCATGTGGCGTGCCTCCATTTCGATTCGATCCGCAATGCCCATAAAAACCCAAAAAGCAAAGCTCAAAAGGAGAACAATCAGGGCGTCGGTGAATGTAACAAGGGGGTTGTATGTGGCAGCTGTCACCATCATACAGAACAGGATGCCGGTGAGAATGAGTCCAACGACGCCATACACACAACCGCAGTCGCTCATGCCGTCTTGGAGGTCGCTTGTTATTCGCATAGAGTTTGGCAGGCCCAGTAGATTATCCAGTCGTCTCATCTGTCGTACGAAGGCCGCTTTGTGCGGTAGAATCAACCATCTCAGGAGTATGCCGTGCGCTTCTTCGATCATCACTTGCTCCTGGATTTCCATGTGATAAGACAAGGCTCGATCCATCCAGCCCTTTTGGTTTGTCATTTTCGTGATCGTTTTGTGTTGAAGGAGATGCTGATTCTCGAAAGGAGAATATATGTTGACGAGGTCTGTCGT